AGGGTGTCAAGTTTTTGTTTAAAAGCCTTGTACTCTGTGACTGGTCTTGCACTCTGTGACTGGTCTTGCAAAGTTTCAAAGTATCAGATGAGAATTAGAAGGGCCTTAAGTCATATCCTTTTGGACAGAATTAGTGCCCTTCTCGCTCTCAACGGAAGAAGGCATTGCCGTCACGACTGCAATAAAATAAATAGTTACGTTCAGTGTGGTAATAGAGCTTGCTGATAGAATTACTGGAACGAAATCGAGTTTAAGATTGGAATAGGCAACTGAATTTAAGAAAGCAGTTTATAGTACATTGCGTGTAACAGCTCACATACCTATCGTTTGTTGAGAGTGAGAAGGTCATTTACCCATGTACTATAATACAGAGTTAATGCCTTTTTGGCTCTTAAGAGGTGATATATGTTGAAGTATGGGTTGATGAGATTCTTGATACTCTGCCAGGCATTCCTAGCCTAGGTCTGTAGCCTCACATAACATTCCCACACAGCCGAGGGGTACAGGGGCGACGTGTATGTGCCCCAGAGTGTCGGAGGGGGGGGGGGGGGGGGGAGGGGGTGGGGGAAGGAGGGGCGGGATGACAGGTGTTGGAGAAGGAGGGTGCGGGGGGGGGGGGGAACAGGGGAAGACAAATTGGAATATTAAACCAGAAACTTTGTATTTTTAAAAAAATATTGTTTGTTTGGGAGGGGGGAGGGGGGGGGGGGGTTAGGGTCAAGAAATTTTAGAAGAAGGAGGGAAGGGGCAATGGGGGGAGGGGGGGGGATTGCAATCTATCTACTGTAACTCTGTACAACAAGAAACGTTTGTCAATCGTTAATAAAAAATAATAACAGCTGCCGTTGCAACCAAGAACTTTTCCATGTTTAGTGATACAACTTTAATAGTGATTCTTTTTGGCATGCAAATCTGGACGATGCACACAATTTGAGAAATGTTTGTACCCAAAAAATTCTGTGTGCATGCACAAATTTCTGGGTTTGTTGTAATGGTGGAGAGTAGATGGAGGAATAAAGAGTCTGTTTAGTACAGGAAATCAAAGAAGGCTTGACATGCTTCTAACCTCTTTGCACTCAACGCACCTCGTTTCACGTCACCCTTAACATAATATAATGCTTCCTTTTGTCTGAGAGACATTAGAACATGATTAATGTCTGTGAAAATGTGCTCATGTAGACAGTGTTTGTCATAAGAGAGACTAAAGTCCAAGTATTATCGTTCAGTGTCAGGAGAGTTAGGGAGCAACAAGAGAATGTGTTTTCTCTATTGTTGGATATAGCATGGGAGAACAACGACCTTTTATATGATTCCCTCTCTGTACTTCTGCATGCTTCTATCTCTATCTTGTATTCTACCTCCCTCTTTCTCTCTCTCTACCTCTCTCTCTATCTTGTCGTATACTCCATTTGCTTTATGCTTTTTCCCACTGTCTTCTCTCATTATCTCCTCACACTCTCTCCTTTCTCTCTCTCCTCTCTCTCTTTCTCTCTTTTTTCTTCTCTCTGTTTCTCTCGAATTCTTCTATTTCCTCTCATTTCTGTCTCCTTGATTTTAATTCCTTCCCCTCTTGTCTTCATCATTTTATTTTCTTCCATCCTCCCTCTTCTCTGAGGGGGGGGGGGGGGGTTGACCCTTCATGTGCCACGCATCACCGCCATACCATTCTTCTATTCCGATCATCGAACATTTATTTATGGCATAGAGGACACACTTGGACATTCTTTAAGACGGGCGTTTATGATTTATTACTAAGAGATGCTATGTCCAGTATCTATCTAATGATTATCCTTGCGTGAGGGTGCGCTCCTTGAGCAATAAAGATATATCGGAGTTCATTTTAATTAGGGGCAAATGCCAACGGAGGGGGGAGGGGAGGGGGTAGGGTCAGATCAGATTTAGACGCTTTGCAGTTAGTAGTAACCAGCAATAATGCAATCATTGGCCTACATAAAGAAATAGATATTTAATTAAGTATCTAAAACTACTTTTAATTAAAAGATATGCTACTATGCTTTATTTTATTTTATTTCATTTTTTTTTTTATATGCCTAAAAGTTCAATATAAAGAGAAACTTAAACAAAAAGGAGGAGGGAGTGGAGAGGAAAATAGGGGGAGGGAGGGAGAAGGCAGAGAGGGGTGCAATGGATGCAGGATAAAAAGTTGGGAATTACTCAGGAAATAAACAGAGTAGGACTAAAGATAGATAGATAGAAGGTAGAGAGCTGGATAGATTAAAGGTGAAAGAAAGAATGAGCAAGGAAGGAGAAAGTAAAGAAGGAGGAGAGGTGAGAGAGAATATTAGGAGAAAGTACCTGGTGTGCTCTTACCTCATAACCAATCAAACATTCCATAGCCAATTCAACCCATAGCATTCTCTGCGAGGTGCAGACCGATAAAGAGAGGTCGATCTGTGATTATCTCCCACCATTCACACAAGGGAAACTATATGTATATGGATTATTGAACGATGACCCCATAAAGCCCAACATTAAAATTGCACAGGCTACAGCTGTACAATAGTTAGTTCATAATCACCTGTAGCTGCTCGATTATCCTCACCTCTCTTTACACTGGACTTGTTTGCATAGATAAGATGATAAAATTTTACATAGTAAAAATGAAATGGTATAGTAATAATATGACTGTCGCGTAGAGATTTTTTTTGTACGTAAGAAAAATCTGCAAAGTTTGAAGAAGTGTACTTGCTTCATTTTGTCAGTTCAAACACTATACACAAAGCCTTATTCAAGGGCATCACACATTAACTTGGTTTAGAACATAGGACTGCTAGTACCAGAACCACTGAGCCATCTTATGTCTAGTAAAAATGTCCTTGTGTGAAAGTACCCGGAGAGATGTAGGTCCCAGACTGTCTTTCCTTTGACCAGGGCAAGGTGACCGATGGCTGCTGGAATTCAGTGGCCCCATCTAGGTGATGTCATTCCAAAGTGTCGTTGGTTTCAAAGGTGTTCTGGAATAGAGATATAACCATAGGTGTCCAATTGGTGAGAATTAAAGGGAAGGACCCAGCGAGATGTAGGTCCCAGTCTCCAGGCTTATCTTTCCTTTGACCACCATGGCAAGGTGACCAATAGTGGCTGGAATTTGATGGCCCCTACTAGGTGATGTCATTCTGAAGTGTCATTGGTTCGAAGGTGTTCTGGAATAGAGATATAACCATAGGTGTTCAGTTGGTGAGAATTAAAGGGAAGGACCCAGCGAGATGTAGGTCCCAGACCATCTTTCCTTTGACCACCATTGCAACGTAACCGATGGTGGCTGGAATTCGATGGCCCCCTCTAGGTGATGTCATTCCAAAGTGTCATTGGTTTCAAGGTGTTCTGGAATAGAGATATAACCATAGGTGTCCAATTGGTGAGAATTAAAGGGACATCTGTTTGGAGTGGGTTTGGTAGTGTGACTTGGGTTAGGTATCAGGGTTGGGGTTAATGTGGCCATTAAAGATAAACTCCAGTTCTGGTAAAAAAAGAAAATTAATTCTCACAGAATCAAACGAAACTTACACTAAATGTTCAAGATTACAAATAAATGACATGTGCCAAACAATTTTGGAAGAAAATGTATACTGGCTGAGTAATGAGCATAGAAAGACAAGGAAATCAAGGTAGTACTAGCCCCGACACCATGTGTGTTGTCCCATATATAGCTTTCTGTGTACAGTGCTTGTTACTTTACCAAGACTCGGTCAAATTTATTATGATTTTGATGACTCCAGAACCTTGCAGTGCACACCAATACTTACATGCTACATGATCAACTGTTTCTGATCCTTTCCACACCTTTTCTTTCACAATGCAATCGCATTACCAGTACTAAAGTTTATCTTTAAGGTTTACCAAAATAGGATAGCTTTATATAGGTATAGGTATATCGTTTGGTCTAGAGTTGAAGTTAGTATTTTATATTGACTTTCAAAGCGATCGTTACTAGAGAATGTGCGATAGTACCCCATTCCCCCTCCTCCCCCTCCCTTTCCCCCCGGTTTATGAATAATGCACAATTTCTACATCACTACAACATCTCTGAGGTGCAGTTCTCGTTAGAACACCTGGGTGGTCTTAACTCCTTTGGAAATGAATCATTTGAATGTAATCCATCTCTTTTCTTTATACTTTAATTGTCTGAGTTTACCTTTGATCTCCATGCAATCTTACAATCTTATCAAAGAATTCATTTTAAATTCAACTCTGCTATTAAACCGGTGAAATGTGTTTATTCTCGATTTCCGAATATATTATCAGGGGAGACATTTTGTACTCTCAGTAATGCAGCGGAAGGGGAATCCCCTTTTTTTATTAGTCATGTTCAGGTTCACTTCCCTTTGTTGTAGTTAAATGTACTCAAAATTACAATGCTATCCACTCCAAGTTAGTGGTTGATAAACTATTTTGGAATCCAATATTTTTTCATTGATTTCCACTGTGAATGAAGCGATCCATGCTATGACTCCCCAAAAGTGTTTTTCCAATCCTATTCATTTGCAGAGCTGTCAACCATTCCAGTGCTATGCTCTAGAAATGATATCTATTTTTCTTCCATGTAACTCATGTTATTAACCACATTCCTCTGTCATTTGTGAAATATCAGGGCCCGGTTTCATGAAACATGCTTTCAATACCAAATTCTAAATTTCTATCACAAATTTGCTCTCAGCCAATCAAATGCCATGATTTCAGTAGCTTATAACAGGTATTATACTTGTTATATTGACAACAAGTTTTATGAAACCGGGACCTCTGTTCATGTGTAAAAGTCTCAATATTCCTAACTTTGTCTTCAGAGATTCCTAACTTTGCTATGGATGGTTGGCAGGTACATGAAAGCGGTTGTTTAGAGAGATATGTTACACAGGAAGACAGTGGTAGCATCAATAAATACCAAATATGGTAATCGCCTGAATGTAATACAATGCTGATGATGCCTTTTCCTCTTGTTTCTCTCTTTCCCTTTCCGATTCCTGTTATGATTCTTGCAGGGCCCCGGAAATCATACTGGGACTCCCGTTTTGTGAAGCCATCGATATGTGGTCCCTTGGATGCGTGGTCGCGGAGCTCTTCCTCGGCTGGCCGCTCTATCCGGGAGCCTCGGAATACGATCAGGTAAGGGTTTGGATCAACATTTTTGTTTTCAAATTGGCAATGCTGGTGTGTTTGTTTTACTGTTAAGTTGCCTCCGAAAAAATATTGTGTAACATAATGGAAAGTTTTTTGTTTTTTTAAAGGAGGAAATGTCATGTATGTTGCAACTAAACAGCCAATGCAAATCACACTGATGTTCTTAACATGATTGTGTATTACATTGCTGCATATTGCATTAATGTACAATACAGTACTGTACATTACATTAACGTATCATTGTACAATGTACATTACATTGATACAATGTACATTGCATCTAATCTATCCATGTACTTTACATCAATGACATGCAACACAGTCCACTGATGTACTTGTACATATTCATGATTTGCGTACATTACAATGAGCATAATTGATGCACATACTTGATACATCTTTTATGACATGCCATCAACTTTTCCAGTCTTTTCATTGTGCAAAACGGCAGGCAGAGAGAATTTAATAATATCTCACTCAAATCAACCTTAACCGAAACATGGGTTGAAACTCGCACGTTACCCATACCAGCAACTCTGACTTGGAGAGGAAGTCTTTAATGAATTTCACAGAATCGTTGTCGGGAACTCGGTCCCCCCACCTGGATTTGCGTTGTAATGTAATAAAGTAATCTGATTCGAGGCCTAACACTTGGCAGCATAGGCGCCCGGCACCCCAGAAATATAAACAAGTCAGGAAATAACAACCAACGGGGCATGCTGAACATGTAATCATTTGTGTCGTATCAATCAATAGGTAAATATGCACACATATGAAAGAACGCACCTTGGTTAGAGGTTGAACTGGGTTTGCCCTGGCAGGAAAGCTTCCAAGTTTTAACAAAATAAATACAGAAGTGAAATGTAAACCACGGTCACGTTATATGAAGAGTCACGAGATCCAAATCGATCGAGGATTTTTAAAAGTGAGATTCATATCAATTGTAACTTTGTGCACAAGTTGACTATTAATTTTTTAATCAATCAGAGGTCTTATTGTTTTTTAATCAACCCAAACTCTTTATATTACAAGGCATACATATGTAGAAACACCAAAAATAAACATCGTTCAAAATATCCTGAAAACTTTTAGACTCTTTTGTGTAAACCCCCCCCCCCCCCAATGTCTTTACAAACTCCTTGCAATGATCCATCCAAGAAGGTGGTTTCAAGAACTTTTATAGCTTACTACAGCAGTTGAATTCCTTTATAACGCCTTTTGTTGTATAGCCACAGGTTGGCTTGATTATTTTGTTCCCTCAATACAAATGAAAAAATGAAAATTTATAGTTTCATACAAATTTGATAATTTCCTGCAGTAAGTTTAGGTACAAATTATCTTCTAAATTCCACAGGAGAAATCTCTTTTTTAATATTTTTTTTTATCACAGGGAAACATAGGACCTATTTTAATTTGTAAGTTCCTTCCCCTGTACATCCCCCACCCCCATAAGGATTGTATGACGAATGAGGGGGAGAGGGAAAGGGAAAATATGCTTTGCAGAAAGTTATTCACAATCCTTTAGATGATACTTGAACGGAACATAAAAACAAAAAGTCACAAGGAGGAAGAATCATATTTCAAGTGACTACACAAATAATTTACCAGAACAGGATCCTACTTCTATTATTTTATTATTGTAAGAAGACTCGACCACAATCTATTGCATTTGCAGTACACAAGAATATTGGCTCCATAGGTATTAGGGGTTCACGAGGCACCAAAACTCATGAGGATGACCTGAAAAGGATGGGACTGTGCTCTGCAAAAATAAATCTCAAGGAAGAATGGTATTTCAAGTTGCGCCAAAAATAATTCTCCAGAAAGGATCCTGCCTTTTTTATTTTAAGCTTTGACCACAGTCTATTGCAGTACACACAAATATTGGCTCCATAGGCATTAGGAGTTCACGAGGCACCCAAACTCGTGGAGAAGACATGAAAACCATGGCATGGGACTGTGCTCTGTAAAAAAAAATCTCAAGGCGGAAGAATTATATTTTAAGTGACTCCAAAAATAATTCTCCAGAAAAGGATCCTGTTTGTTTAATCTTGAGCCTGGACCACAATTGTTTGCAGTGCACAAGAATATTGGCTCCACAGGCATTAGGGGTTCATGCAGCCCCAAAACTCTTGGGAGATGACATGAAAACAATAGCATGGGACTGTGCTTTTTTTTTTTAAATCTCAAGGAAGAAGAACAATATTTCAAGTGACTCCAAAAATAATTATCCAGAAAAGGATCCTGCTTCTATTATTGTTAGCCTCGGCCACGATCTTTTGTGGTACACAAGAATATTGGCTCCAAAGGCATTAGGGGTCCACATGACGTGAAAACGATTGTATGGGACTCTGCTCTTAAAGCAGGAACTTAAAATGTTGCCTCGGGGGCTCAAGGGGGGAAGGGGCCACTTATTTTTAGAAAGTGTCATCTGACGTCGTCGGTTTGAGGGAACCCAACACCGATATCCCAGTGTGGGGACTAGAGTCATGAAGAAGCCCAGTTGAGCTAAGATTAGAAATAGTGCAAATAGGATTTAGCGTTATATTTAGGTTGCAGTGTACTCGTAGGTGGATGTCGAGAGTCATGCGGTAAAATTCAGATACAACCGTTATTCACAGGAAAAAAATATTTAATTTTTTTTTGGTGGGGGGGGGGGGGGGGGTGGGAGGCTACTTTTCAAGCTTGCTTGCATGAAAATGACACTCTTTAATTTGTTTTGCATTGAACTATGCAATTTTGGGGGGCTCTTTTATGACTTTCGGGGGCTCTTTTTGGCATTTCGGGGCTAATTTGCCCCAAGCCCCCATGTATCCCCCCTGGTTATTCATGTTGTAAGGTACAACAATGTTAGTTACAAGCGTGAAAGATTGCATTTATTTTGGGGTTGCAGTAAATATGAACATTTTCAACGGGTTTAAATTGAGCAGAAATTAAACTGACTTTCACTTGGTGTATATGTATAGAGAGGAAAGCTAAGTTTAGATTAAAAATGCCCACACCAATCTATGTGAGTGGGACCATCGCAAGCTATGTTGTCCAATAATAGCACATTACACAGCTTTCGGGGGAGGATGATTTAGGGTCAACTCCTCATTCAAAGGAAACAAGTTTATTGCTTTGATGGCCGGTTTATAAAAAGAACACGAGCATGAATGTGTCGGACTACAGCCTGCGATATCTGAGAATAGCACAACACACTGGGGGCTAAGGAGGATGAGGGAAATTTATTTTAAGACTGAGAAGAAAGATGGAGAAATGATAACTCGCTTTTGAACATACGTTGCCTGAGTGTCCGATATTTGTCACGACACATCCCCCTCATTAGTATGACAACACGGGTGTCTAATCGGGAAGGGGAAGAAGTAATTATAGAACCGACAAGGAAATTGTAACTCGATGACCTTTATGAGTTGACGTTTTGGAAATGGTCATTTTCCAGTTGATAACACAAGGGGTCATGTGGGGTTCAATGTCTAAAGATTGCCAAGAAGTTTGTTGTACGAGAAAGCGGGAGTTTGAAACCGATTAGAAATATGTGTACATGTACATGTTAAATAAAGAGTACAATATCTGAAGTCCATTTAACCAACTTACTTTATGTAAATGTATTCAGCACCATAATCTTCTTTATTTTTTGCTGAAGGATTGTATGGCGAGGAAAAGTACCTTGTGAAGTTTTGAAAAAAATAATTGTTATAGTTTTCATTTCAAGAGAAATTTCAATTCATAAGTTTACATGTAGCCGAGATACAAAAAACAAAAACAAGCAAATAATTTAAAAAGACACTTAAACAAATACATAAACAAAGAAACAATCCAGTGCATTGGACTAGAATGTTCATTGTTAAATATGGCATGGTTGTCAATTGATGTTGTATTTTGCTGAAAACGTTTCACTCTCTATCTATTGTTTTTCAATGGTTACATGTATGGGACTGCCAGTCATGCTGTAAAGAATGTGTTTCACTTTATAACGACGTGCGATTTGTAGTCTATTTTCAAGGCTTTCACTTTCAATTTCTATTTTGATGGCATCTTCATGCATAAGTGGTTAAATACAACTTGTAAAATATCTTTCACTTTTAAATCCCTCAAAAATACTATACTTATAGAATGGTAAACCATTTTCAGCTAGTTTGGGAGACAAGAATAGTGGTCTTTATGTACAGATTTCTTAAGTAGAGGTTTCAATGAGAAATCATTTCAAGGGAAACAAGAATTTTGACCTTTATAGTAAGGCTGTGAAGGGTAGTCGAATGCTCGAGTACCCGCACGGTTGACAACTACTTGGGTACGATTTCTCGTACCCGAATATTCGGCCGCAAAAAAAAAAAAAAAATTAAAATGTCCAGGCCGACGCTTACCCGTGCCTGGGTGAGCGGCGGCCGCTGGCATGGTGCCGTCGGTAAAATGTTTCTCAACTCAAGCACTGTCAAACTCACCACTCAGAAACTGGGACCAAATGTCTGGATTTCTGCTTGGACTTGGAGGAAAATGGATTATTCTGCCATCCTTGGTTTTTAAAACAGCATTGTTCACTGTTATTATTATTATTATTAAATCGGCGCCTTCAACTGCAACTCAAAGTAAAATTGCATGCGTTTTCGGCGACAGAACTGGGATACTGCTCCAGTGGTATGTATGGTGGTGGCAAAAAAAAAAAAAATCCAAAAAAAATCCAAAAAAAAAAAAAATCCAAAAAAATTCCAAAAAAATTCAACAAAAAAAAAAAAAAAACACATGGCGTCCGAATACTCGAGTATTCCCTTGTAAGCATAGGAGTGTACTCGGGTACCTCATTACACTGTTGTGCACAGCCTTACTTTATAGACAGGTGGTCTCTACACTGTTGATCAAGTTTCCCTGAAGTACAATAAATGACATTTTTCTTTTCTTGTTTTCTCATCCATAGATCCGTTACATCTCCCAGACGCAAGGCTTGCCAGCTGAACATCTGCTGAGCGCAGCGACCAAGACAACGCGCTTCTTCAAGAGGGATATCGAGTCCAACTTTCCACTATGGAGATTAAAGGTAATAGTTAGCAAGATAAAACGTTTAAAGGGAGGTTATTTTACCATATAATGTATTTTCAGCCGATAATTTTTGGTGAAGGCGTACGTATAGTGATTTCCGGTTCCTATATGGGCACGTCATCAGTTGGTGTTGCATTGTGGGACACGGCTGTCAACACATTGGTGAATTGTGAGCAGCAGGTGGCAGTATAATATGTAAATCTGAAGTAGTGTCAGTAGTATGCCTTTAAATGAAATAGAAATGAAAATATGCAGAATATAAAGAATAAATAGTAAGCCAGCTTTTCTGTAATGTATTACTGCAAGTCATAATACAAACCAAAAGCCTTCACAATGGCAAGGGCTTGTAATCTAATGAGATTCAGAGCAATGAACTGTGAAACAGATATTCAGAAGTGATGATCATTATGCCGACAAAAGGAATAACAATCGAGATAAATCTGATATCCAAATATCAAAAAGCAAAATTAGCATTCCCAACATGTAAATCACGATTGCTATCTCTAGAGAACGAGCAGCAGATTTGCAAGAGAAATGGCTAAATTATTCATACGTAAATCTACCGTGACAGATAAAGGCTACGTCAGTGGAAGCAACGGTGATAAAATCAATGCTTGTACGTAAATCTGCATTGTTCTATTAAAGGATACAGAGAATCCCGAGTGCAAGGCTGGTCATGTAGAAACACTACACTACGTAACTCCCACCCACCCTTCCTACATAGGTAACACATTGAGTGGTGTAGTCTTCGTGGACGGGCTGCAAGTTGAATCTCAAGTGTCCCTCAACACATTGAGTGGTGTAGTCTTCGTTGACAGGCTACAAGTTGAATCTAAAACGTCCATCTGTTCTCATCTGCCGTATATAACACATTGATTTAAATGTACCACTCGCCCTTCCTACATACAAGTGGGAGTTTCTGGCTTTACAGTTGTTTTCTTGTGCCCATCCTTTTGTTTCTACTGGTGATCCTGTAGGGAAGGAATGAATAACATAGGTTGGGTCTGGTGGCAGAGACTAACCACTCCGCACCTGTTGTCTCTATAGATGCTATACCCATGTTAGTACTACGTGCAGATGGCAAGGACCCGTTTAAGAACTACATGTAGATACTAATTAACATAGCCTAAGTGCGGCTTCGTTTAGCATTCTACACACAGTTAGGCTATGTGTCAGAGGACCCCTTTCTCACTGGACACATTTCAGCGTTCACATTCGAAACATTAGCCGTCACATTTCAAATGGAGGTGTTCACATATGAAATTTTACGTAGCACACATGAGATAATTATCTGGTCATATCAGGGGAAATTTCTGTCCCATCAGAGCTTCGAATTTGTTATGCTAATTTCAAGGGGAGGGTGGGGGCAGTCATGTTGATGACAATATGAAAATTCACCACATCCTTGGGCAGCCTCATTTGTTGATATACCCTGACATGAATTTTGAATTTTCACTATACAATGCTAGATGACTTCTTCTTTTTTCTTTTTTCCTTTCTTTTTTGGGGGAGGGGGGGGGGGGGGGGGGTCCATTTCTTTATTTAGCAGAGCCCAATGAATTTTTACATGAATTTTCAATTTTGCCAACCATCTTGCGGAGTGAGGAAATCTATTGTACCGTATGTTCATGTGCGTGTAAGGAAATGATATAGGCCTGCATGTAATTCAAACTTTTTGAAAGTCACTGGTAGGCTCATGATGATTTTGCTTTGGATAAACTTGTCAGAGTTAACATTCACGAGCTATTGAATTCTTAGAACCAAAGTATTGTGCATCAATGCTCAGATTGAACCTGGTGTGCACAAAATCATGATTTGCAATGAGAATGACATACACCTAATTTTGCCAGTGTGAAAGGACCCTAGCATTCAGACATGCACACTATACCCTCCCTCCCCTTCCCTCCCCACCCCCATCTATAGATAATCGTGTCATGTAACAGTCATGGCTATATCATATCTTCGTTGTTGTTTTCCACTGACATGAAATGTACACATGATTCACATCGCTTCCAAATGTCAATGACATGACACATGACCAATGTTTCTCCATGTTGCGGTGGTGTTCGTTGATAGCGGGGATGCCAAAATGTCTGCATGGTTGAACATTGGAAGGGAATTCTGACTTAGACGAAACCGTAATGAGAGAGGCACTATGTACAGTACTTTAGGAATGCCAGATTTAGTTTTAAGGGGGAGGGGCTGCGGGGTCCAATTTTGCCGTTTCGATTTCATTATTTCACTAAAAGACAAACGGATAACAACAGGAAGAAAGAAAAAGCAGGCAAATGAAAAATTATTAAAATACAAAGAAATGTAGCAAAGCATTTTGGAAAGTTGAAACAAGTCATAGAATGTGGCGTGCATTGAAATGATATGTAAGCATCAATTCCAAGAGCGGTGATATCAGGTTGCGTACCCTCATTTCAGACAGAGAGAGAATGAGAGAGGGAGAAAGAGAGAGACAGACAGAGAGAGACAGACAGAGAGAGACAGACAGAGAGAGAGAGATAGACAGAGAGAGATGGGGGAGAGAGAAAGAGAGAGATAAAAAACCAATGAGGGAAGACAGGCAAGAGAGTTAAATTGGCAACCCTTTGGCAGATGAACGAAATGAAAGGCAGGCCTTAAATTTCGTCATTTTTAGGGCAAGGCCAGTTTGGCCTTGAGTACCTCATATTTTTAAGGGCACCAAGGCCAAAATATTTTTACAAAAAGGGCATCGAGGCCAAAATATTTTACAAAAAGGGCATCGAGTATGAGGCCAAAAAAATTGATTCTATTTTTGTTAGATGTCATGTGTATTTTATGAAACTTGTGCGGGATCAATTTCCCATGACTTTTAGCACCAGCTTCTTCACAGAATGTATAGAGGTCTACAGTACATACAAACAAGGCGGCGGCCCGCAAGCCTTAGATTTAGCAGCCAGGAGCAAGGGGCAATTTTTTTTTTAAGTTGCCCTTTGCCACGGGAATTTACCAGAGCAAGGGGCAATTTTCCAAAAAGAGATAGGCCCCCTTATCTAATCATAAGTTCAAAGAGAGTCTACAAATGTTAATTTCATAATGTGAATAGATCGAACGATCAATTTAATAACTTTTTAATCTTAACAATATGAACAGGAAAGATTGATTAAGAACATCAAACTTGCACATTAAACAGTATTTTAAAGTAACTAAAAATATTGATGAGCAAATGAATAAATAAATTGTCAATTTCACAAACACGAAAGTCAGAAGGACTTGGCAAGTTTACCGGGCCGGGTATCCCAAATCAAAATCGCACCTCACACACAAACCTTCCGCCACTCTCTCGGTAGTAGGAGCAAATTTGAAGAAATTATCTTTTTAACTGTTGTATAGAAAGGTCTAGATAGGCCTAACTAATGAAATAAGATGTAAAAATGTCCTTATCAGGGAATAATTTTCAGCAAAAAAATTGCATAGCAAAACTGCTATACAAAATAATTTTTGCATAGCAGTTGGATAAATTTGTATCGCAATTTTTTTCTCATATAGCAAAGCGCACATTTTCAGCCCACTACAATAAGATGAATGTACATGTAAACATGGTGGGTGTACTCACATTTCTAGTCCTCAACACTTGCTGCAGTGACAGTAAACAAACAACTCCCAGGTACGATCATCGCGCACATGCGATGCATGTAATTAGATCCCACGTGCATTGTCATTGCATTGTGCAATGATCGCGCGAACCATGCCTCAAAACAACAATCGCGGTTAGAAGGTGATCGTAGCATGCCATGTGCTTGCGCGACAATGGGTGTATGTGTATAAGCTTCACGGTTAGAGAGTGACTGCAGTATACTTCACGCACAGTAGTTACGCTGTAAATGCAAACATACAAGTGCGAGTGAGTAGCCAATTTCGCGATCGCCGGCCCTGTATTCTGATTACAGGGCCGGCGATCGCGAAACGGGCTACTCACTCGCACTTGTACTGAGGTGTGATGAGCTAGCCTAGTAATTCAGATTATTCAGATCGCGAAACGGGCTTCTCACTCGCACTTATACTTGTACAGAGGTGGGATGAGCCCGCCCTTAAACATGTATGTTTGCATTTGCATCGCAGCAATTGCGATTCATAAAAAAAGATGTGTAGCAAATGGCTGAAAATGCGTCGCAAATTGCGATGCGATACCGGGAAAATTATTCCCTGCCTTATAGACATTCGACAGCTGAAAGTGACACGCTCAGCTCAGTTGCGTAACGTGCATTCACGAAACCAAAATCGTTCCTCGCACACACACTCTCGCCACTTTTGGTGGGAAGCTGTCGGGCTGGAAGTTTGCCAGCGAAACCGATGCACCCTCGGAGATTCGCAGCGCGTAATTTTACCGGGACTCGAAACGTTCGTCTTGGGAAGCTGGCGGGGTAGCTTTTTGAAGCGAGGTCGGCTGGTGGCAAAATGAGAGTAACTACGATCGAGAACATCGTAGGTGTTCTTAACTTATTAATAAGATAATTCTAAATTCTATTTGAGATAAAATAATAAACTAGACCTACAAACAAACCTCGACAGATCTCTAATGACTATTTGAATGCTTGTTTATTTCTCCATTTGACGATTTGTTTTCTTGATCCTGGCCTTCGATTTGTACGTACGTACGTACGTGCGTGCGTCAACAGCATGCACCATATGCATATCATGCGATCGCGTGATTGTACGTGCGCTAGCGCATTGCCTATATAATAACAAAGGGCGCATTTTCACGGCACTTGCGCCTTATTAAAGCACTAAATACGAAGCTAGAAGAGAGCTCGTGGGCGGCAGACTGTTCGTGATTCGTGTATTTTTACTGTTCTAATAATTTATGGGCGCATTTTCACGAAAAACACTTGCGCCTTGCCGTCTAGTTTTAGATGATTATGGGCGCAATTGGTGGTTTTATGTGCGCAAATTTAAAAAAAAAAGGGCACGTCCAGTTGGAAAAAAAGGCACGTCGGCCAGTTTGAAAAAAAGGGCACGGCCTTTTTGGCCGTGAATTTATCTTTTTTTGGGAGGGCACCGCGGCCAGTCATAGGGGCATCGACGGCCTGGCCGTCGATGGCCGTCGATTAATTTAAGGCCTGGAAAGGGAATGTGTTTTCAGAGAAAGAGCGAGAGTGGGAGAGTGACAGAGAAAGAGGGAGACAGAGATAGATAGAGAGGTGAAAGAGAGAAAGAGAGACAGAGGTAGAGAGAGAGAGAGAGAGTGATAAAACCAATGAAAGAAGACAGGCAAGATCTGTAAATTGGGAACCCTGTGGCAGATGCACGAAATGAAAGGGAATGTGTCTTCAGAGTTTATGTTGTGCCTGGAATTTAATTGCTGTCTGGGTGATTAATAGTGGTATCACCTTTCTAAAGCTGGCAGCATCTCCACTATCTTATTTGATTTTATTTGAAAGTGAAACCATACATGGAGTTTTGGACAATGCACAAATGCCAGGTTGTGATACAAATGCTTGGATCAAGAGGGTCTTGTGACTCTCATTAGGCCTGTCTTCATCAGCTTGAGCTTGCCAAATAACCTGCTACTTTAACTATCACGATCGCAATTAGCGGGATATTTGGTCGAGAAAATATCTAGAGAAATCTTGGTCTTGTTTCCAAAATATCCCGTTATTTAGGAAATAGCGGGCTCATTTGTGCCGTCCAAGCTAGTTTGTAATGAGCGTATCGATCTGGTGAAGTCGCAATTTCGAGCTTCGGGATAATAAGTAACCGAGTCTGAAAATAGCGAGTTATTGATATTTTCTAATTGTCCCTTAGGCTTGTGTAAAGTTGAGTTGTAGCATTTGGAAAAACTGAAACCAAAACACACACAAACAAAGAAACAAACAAACATCTGGGATTAAAAGGATCCGGTAAGTTTGTCTCAGATTCTGAAACAAAATCCTGGATTTAGCTCATGGTACAACGATAATTATAAACCTTTAGGTCAGTCAGGAACCCCATGACTTTAACAAGCCGATTGCCTGTCCGATTATCAAGATATTTATGATTGGATTTACAAATTTACAGTCAATTGGGGAAAACCGGTCACTCAAAGATTTTTTTCCTTTTGCGGCACTTCTTGATCGTTTTGAAGCACAATTTTTTTAGGGCTTCAATATTACACCATATCACAGACACTGATAACACATAGGTCCGTGCATCTCAGATTGAACCTTGTTAAATGATGCCTTTAAAGGAAAAGATGAAGCCACACATGGTTGTCAGCATCATAATTACCAAGAAAAAACAAAACATCAGAATAACCAAGAAATTTTGATGGGATTCTTCTTTTGTATGACGTGATTTGGCGGAAAATGCTGTGCTATCATTTTCCTTAAACAAATTCCCAACTTTTACATAAACCACATTACAAACTTCATCCCTAGACCCAACACTATACCTTAACCTGTATTTCTTACATTTGTTTTAAATGCTTATAATTGATTTGTAATGTTTCGTTGGAAACATGAATAAATTTGAATTTTGAAATTTGAACCTAAATCCCAATCCTAATCCTTAATCTAAACCTATACTGAAATCTAAACCTAAACCGAAATCTAAACCTAAACTTTAACCTAAACCTAAATCTAACCTCACTGAAAACCAAATAGCAACCCTAACCCTAACCCTATACTCTATTGTCGCAAGAGCAAAGGTCTGATCACTGCAAAAACATGTCCTCATACATCTATTCCAATTTTGTAACATGGCCCCAAAGGTTAAAATTTGCTGGCAGCGCCCATGGCACAGACGTTCACCTACATGTATAGGCGACAAAATGTTCATGCCTGTTGCAAACTAAAGAGACATAACATTGTCACCCACACACTCTGTCTGGCTGGAATACAACTAGCACCTCGAGATGAATCACGAGAATAGGAAAGAGAGGAGTACCGTAGCTCCGACATTTCTGTTCATGATTTGGACAAAGTCCAGCTTGTTCAGGTGAAACTTCTCCCCAGAACAGGAGGTATTAAAATGTCTTTTAAAGGTCAAATACATTCTGCAGGAGGAAGCTTTCTTGTTTATTGATCTGTCTCTTGACATTGTAGTCATCTTCTCTTTCGCAGAAAAAGAACAAAAAAGAGAGACAAAGAAAAATGATTTTCAAAAAGTTTGAACAAAGGAAATGCCAATTTATTCATGATTATGAGACAGATAAAAAAAAAATGAAGACGATCTGTCAGGAATCATTAGTACTTTTGTTAAAGTTGGACTTCAGATACAATCATATAAGAGGCAGGTCACTTAGGAAGGGTAAACAGCTCTGTGAAAAGAATAGAAGGGGGAGGGTCAGGGCAGGTTGCCCCCAGACTTTTGGAACAACCCTTTTCAGTTGAAGAAAGGGCTGTTTTCCTATGAAGATAATGCACACGAAGTATAGTATTATAAGCCTATTTATCATTTCCCCTACTTTACAAAGATTGCATCACTAAAAATTCTGTTTGAAGCTTATTATTTATAGATGTAAGTACATGAATTTTCATCAAAGTTAATTCAAATTCCTTGCAAATGAGGCTTTCCTTTCGCAATTTTTTCATCATTATTCCCTGAGTCATGTTGCAATGTTAGGCGGGCCTGGGAATTGTTTACCTAGAAGTGCCTGGATTTTCACGCTATCGGCCAATTTTTTCTTCCATTTCGTGTTAATGCCAACTTTTTAGCAACCAAGTCTTTCCATTGTGAGTCTTCTGGGATGGTGGGATTGAAAGACAAAAGAGAAAAGAAATTGGCAAAGATTGAGGTATTTTTTGCGATGACAGAGTCGTGAAACCCGAGCTCTCCCGATTGTTCTAGAAAAAAGAAATAGATGTAAAGCTTGTAAACTGTAGCATGTGAAGGTGCTGCATGAAGTTGTCCACCTTCCCAGGAGCAAGGTATTTCAGTAGGGCAGGCATTGATGGAAATAATGGAGATTTTTTTCCCTCTCTTTGAGATGCATTGTTAGATGTAGATCTAACCACTTCCAAGGCTTTATTTAAATAGATAATCACATGGTCAATTTCTATCCAAGTCAAGTCCTTACTTCAACCTCGGACTGAGAGTTTACTAAACACTAACCCTCGCCCTCATCATAACACTAGACTAACCTAACATCCTGTTGTAACCCAAACCCCAATAATGCCTTTTCCAAACAAAACCTAGAACAAACGGCTCCTTGAACAGATTTTGCTAGCAGTCCAAATGGTGTTCGACTATTGAGTCAATTTTGCATTTATTCAAAATATAAGTTTCAAATATTAGTTTCAAATATAAGTTCATTTCATTAGCAGGACATTTTCCTTGACTGGCAAAATATTTGCCCTCACTACCCAAGAGGAGAACTCTTTAAAACCCCTCTGCACTAGTTTTGCCATCAGTTTATCTCATCAAATCAGCTCTCAATTAACATAAGAAAAAGGGCATCATGGGGGATCAACGAGTACTGCTAAGGCACTGTTGGCTGTATAGAGGGCGCAAGTAGCTATAAGTAGTGCAACGGGGCTTCAATATTCCCCACTTTTCAAATATTGCAAATCATTACATGCATCACCCTGACCTTACAAGTGAATAATGATATCATCGCAATCACCTCGTAATCCGAAGTGACAGTTGAACAAAGAATTATCTGTGTGTTTCCATTTTGACAGAACCCTGAGGAGCACGAGACAGAGACGAGTGTGAAATCCAAGGAAGCGAGGAAGTACATCTTTAACTGCCTGGATGACATCGCTGGGGTCAACCTGCCGACTGACCTGGAAGGAAGTGACTACCTGGCAGAGAAGGCTGACAGGTAATGTACACTTCCTGTTTGTGACCTAAGGATCAAGGTCATGCTGCGCTGACTAGGGATATATTTTGCATGGCTAGTATTGTATTTCAAGGGATTTAAAGTAGGTTGGTTGGGGTGGGAGAAATGATCAACAGGTTGACTTGAAGACCGACCTGGAAAGAAGTCAATATCTGGCAGGGAAGGATTACAGGTAAATTATACTTCCTGTACGTGACCTTAGACTTGAGGTCATGCTACTCTGACTGGGGGGAGATATTTCTGCATGGCTAGTATTGTTTTTCATGGGATTTATAGAAGGTGGGGGGGGGGGGGGGGATCAACTGGTTGACTTGCGGACCGACCTGGAAGGAAGTGAATACCTGGCAGGGAAGGATGACAGGTGTAACAAACACTTCCTGTACGTGACCTTAGACTTGAGGTCGCACTGCTCTGATTAGCAGGATATTTTCCCGTGGCTTGTGTAGTGGTGGCGGGGAGAGGGAATTTGAAGAGAGATGATTACCTGGGTGACTTGCCAGAGCGACCTGGAAGGAAGTGAATACCTGGCAGAGAAGACTGACAGGTGTAACAAACACTTCCTGCTCGTGACCTTAGATGTGCAGTCATGATACAGTGACTAACAAGAAGCTTGTCTAGTATAGATTCATGGGAGTTCAAAGAGTAAACAATTTTGTTTCCTTTTAGTACGATGTACATGTACATGTATGAAGAAGGAATCAGTAGAAATAACCAAACTACAATGTTTTCTTTCGTTCATGTAGACAAGTTTGTTAAACTGCTGAAAAAGATATCATTAGTGAAAGCCCTTTCATTCTCTCATCAGTTGATACTCTCGTTGGCAAAGTTGAAAGATTGGAATAAATGTTTTATTGTTGTAGTTTACAAGCTGTATGCATATGAATGAATGAAGTAAGTCTGTGATGTTTGTTTTTCTGTGTAGGCGAGAGTTTGTTGAACTGCTGAAGAAGATGCTAACCATCGATCCGGACAAGAGGATCACTCCTCTTGAGGCCCTCAACCATCCCTTTGTTAGTCTGTCACATCTCGCCGAGTATGCTCATTGTAGGAAGTAAGTATCTGAATTTCTTCCTTCTATCTTTCCTCCTTCTCCTCCTTTCTAACCCTCTTCTAATCTCTCCTTCATCTCTCTAGAGCCCGTTTAGAGGCCCTTAGTCTGTCACATCTAGCTGAATATGCCAACTGATGTATCAGTATTATTTCCTTCTTTCTTCCTCCTTCTTCTTTTCTTCCTCCTTCTTCTTCTCTTCCTCATCCTTCTCCTCTTCCTCCTGCTCTTTTTACTTTACAAGTAATACCATGAGTAGAAGATGAGTTGAGCGAGGAAAGGAAGAAGAAATAACAAAAGGAAAAAAGTTTGGAGTGATGGTGCCCTTGAGAACCCCGAAAGAACTATTGATAACTCAAAACAAAGTTCCAGTAAATGGTTAACCGCTAATATTTTCCCACGGAAATCTTGCATTTCCTGATTAAAACATCCACAAAGAAGCTCCTGTAAAACCACAGCAACAATAATAAACAAACAATTCTATACTAAATAATATGCTTTTCAAAATGTATTTGAAGAATGGAAACTCAAAGAAATATGAACAGATTCAAAATTAGAAGTATCGTGAAGCCATTAAAAAAAAAAACATGTTTAGCGTCCCTGCCCGCTTCCTTTTTGGGGGCCACCTCCTATTTTTTTTTTTTTTTGATTTTTTGTTGATTTTTTTAAAAGAAAAATAACATGAAAAACACTGCTAAAATGGATCTATTTCTGATTTTTAAAAAAAAAATTAAAAAATGTCGGCGGCCATCTTGAAAAATAGCCCGACTGTCAGGGATAATGTACCGAGCGGCCATTTTGAAAGAAAAGAAAAAAAGGGCCTCCTCCTTCCTATTTTTCGAAAAAAACTTTTTTTATTTATTTTTTATTTGGCCTGACATTCATGGATGAAAGAGGCACTTCATAACAAATTATGATTGGGAATTCCTAACATGCATTTAACTTTAAAAATATAATTTTCAGTTATTTTATGAAAAATTTATGATTATGATTATGATTACTAACTCTGCTGTGTTATTCTCCATTGTGCAGTACCAAGGCATCTGTTCGAGCCATGGAGGTGTGCAAGCGAGGTACCCAGCTCTTCGAGAGCAACCTGCCCAGCGTCCCGGCAAGCTTTGGAGGGGTCATGACCCCGTCGGCGGCCAGCGCAGGCAACCTCAACATCGCTTTCAACAACCAGATCAATGCAGCCATTCAGAACCAGGTAAGGGAAAACTTACTTCAGCCCTTGTGCGCCACACTTCTTGAACTCAATAAAGATGAGAATAATAAAACGGTGCTTATAAAGCACTTTCCACCGAAGTCTCTAAGCACTTTAGTGACAAGAATAATTGTGATGATGAAAAAATATATTCTTGTATACAGTTCATATGAAATTATTACATAATGTCAGCACATACTTTTTGTTGTTGTATGTATTTTAGCTGCAAACAATAGCCAGTTCAGGTATCAACAGATAAATGTTGACAGCTGGTCACACCAGGAGCCCCTGTTATGAGAGTCCTTAATAGACCAAGCAATTTTGTTTACTGCTGCTCAGAAAATGCCATGTATTATCACTTATCTTTTAACAAATTATTAAAAAACAACACCAACCAAAGTAAGTACGCATTTCTAACACATCCAACAGAAGAAATTTGTGGAGCACACAACATAGTAATGCAGAAGTGTACCCATGCCTCCAAAGGACTTTATATATCATTTCCCTAGCTTTGATTCTGGCAGTCGTTATAATTAGCGGACAGTCCATTTCAAGGAATTATATTGCCTGCAGTCTATTTCAAGGAATGAATATTGCCCTGTACCCATTTTAAAGGGTTTTAACTCTGTGTATAAGGATAGGGATTAATGCCCTTTTGGCGCTAAACAGACAATCTTCAGTAAACTGGAAGGATATCAACTTGATGTAAAATGATGAGAGTTAACACCTTTTTGGCACTAAGCAGACTTATCTTCTGAAAACCGGAAGGATTTCAACTTAATGTAAAATGATGAGAGTTAACACCTTTTTGGCACTAAGCAGACTATCTTCTGAAAACCGGAAGGATTTCAACTTAATGTAAAATGATGAGAGTTAACACCTTTTTGGCACTAAGCAGACTTATCTTCTAAAAACCGGAAGGATATCAACTTGATGTAAAATGATGAGAGTTAATGCCTTTCTGGCACTAAGCAGACAATCCGAAAACCAGAAGGATATCAACTTGATATAAAATGATGAGAGTTAATGTCTTTCTGGCACTAAGCAGACAATCTTCTGAAAACCGGAAGGATATCAACTTGATGTAAAATGATGAGAGTTAACACCTTTTTGGCACTAAGCAGACTATCTTCTAAAAACCGGAAGGATATTAACTTGATGTAAAATGATGAAAGTTAACACCTTTGTGGCACTAAACAGACTATCTTCTGAAAACCGGAAGGATATCAACTTGATGTAAAATGATGAGAGTTAACGTCTTTCTGGCTCTGAACTGAAGATGTACGTGTGGCATGTGTGCAGTGACATTTTGATTGTCCATGCTCTCGCCCACAATTGCGTGGATGCCGTCGTAACCACGGAGAAACATTAGTTATTAATGGACAGTCGCCGACCTGAAGCCAAAAGCGTGACACGTTGATTGGCCAGGCTCGTCCACATACACCCACACGCAATCAGTGGAGTGGCTAAGACAAAAACAGGAGAGATATATAACAAAGCTATGAGAGATAATATAACTGTAAGAGTAATGCTCATTGTAAGTTGTACAAACATGAGCAGTGAGAAATACATTTCAATGCAATTCAACATATTTCCACAAACATTCATGTACAATGGATATGGTGAAGGTTTGAGTTACATTTTTTCTGTAAAGGATGGTTAATTATGATTTTTATGTTCTTGGAATGAGAAAATCGTATTTTATTATAATTTATTAAAATCTCCCAAGAGGTTGGAAATCGAATTTATTTAACCATACGGAAATATTATTTTTCAATGGATAGGTGAATAAATGGATGGTTTGGGTGACATGTTGATTATCCTGTAGTACACCCACACCTTATCAGTGAAGTGGCTAATGCAAAAACAGAAGAGATATATATTGAAGCTATGAGAGATAATATATCTGTAGGTGTAAAGGGTAATTGGAAGTTCTATAAGCACTAGGCAAGGAGCAAAGACAAAAATACATTTAACTGTGTTTCAACAAATTTCTAGAAACTGCAGATCTCTTTCTGTAAAGGTTACTAGCAAGCTCTACATGCACTATTTTAGCAATTTGAAAAGAGTTACCCACAATTTCTACAGAAATATTGAAGCTTATTAGTGATGATTATTTTACACCAGTCTATTTTTTGCCCTCATGTTTAAGATAATTAAAGAAAATTCTGATCTCTTTTCTTTGACCTACTTTATGTTTGCAAATCGGGTAAAATATGGTGAATTCAACGTATGTTAAAAAAGTCCATATCTCCTTTTTTTTCCTCCAAAGACTAACGTCATTGCATTGATGATACTAGTTGTCATAGCGACGGACATAGTTGATTGTTTTTCCATCTGTAGACAATACCATCTGAGTCAACACAAAACTTGTTGCTATAAATTAACCAATTGGATATTAGCATGTACAGTGGCCCCATAAAACTGGGCTTTTAAAACAACAATGTAATTTAAGGACTTGCTGTGAAACTGCAGACATGTGATTTAAACATTCAAATATATTATGGGCAGTGTAGACAAGCAAAAGAGGCATTCATTTTTGTTTATTTTTAAAATAACCGGTACTACAGATAGGAAAGCACCATTAAGAAAATGGTTATAAAGGGTTACGCATTGTTAAATATGTGGCAAAGGCTTGGCAATTCATGTTTCCTTGAAAATCATGAACTCCGTTTATTTTCTTATTATTCAGCAGTTGCACATTTTTCATCATTATTGGCAGATTCTTTTATACACATTTTATGAGTATTTTGTATGTTATAATGATGTAATAAGGATGAAAGTTTTAATTAAACATGTTTTTTCAATTCAAAGTATTCTTTTCAATTCAAAGTATTCTTTACAATTGACCATAATCATATTATGATGTAATAATGACGAAAGTTTTGACAATAATATATTTTTTCCAATTTAAAGTAACCCTTCACGATTGACCACAAGTCTACCTGTATTAATCATAGCAAGAGTTAGAAATTTGTCACCGTTATTTATAGAGGCTTTGGGGCTCAATGGAAATGAATTAGAGAACTGAAAGTGATCAACCTAAATATATCTCTGATCCCTTTGAGTATTGTTCATGGCTTTGAAAGGTTTAACAAAACATTTGCTTTGAAGAAAAGGTCATGCCAGAAATGACTAATAAACCACAAATAAGTAGAAAGCTGTCTGTAGAGTTTGAAAATAAAGATATTGGGGTATCATTGATCTATGTGTAATTTTAGACATAGGACACTACATGTAGCTAGCTTTGTACAGGGTTTTTCTTTGATATATGTACAAAGAGCTGAATACCATTACCCAGGCTATAGCCAATCTCCTTTTATAAGGGGCTGGAGCATTTTAACCCCCCCCCCCTACCAGATACCCCTTTACCATCACCTGGGTAGAGTACGGCAGAATTTAAAAAATGTCTAGCCAACGAATAAGGGTTTAAACCTCTTACCTTCTGATTCAGTCCATACAAGACTCTTTCACAACACCTCTTCATATTTTTGATGTTTCATTATTTTCTTTTTAGCTAGAGAGAAAAACCTTGACATTTCGTTCCTCAATCAATTTCAAGGGTCCTGTTTCATAGAAATTCTTATCAATAACAAATTCTAATATTATATGACACATTTGCTCTTAGCCAATCAATTGGAATGACTTCAGTAGCTTATAACAGTTATTGTAACTTGTTATTGATAACAGATTTTATGAAACAGGGCCCAGACTTTCCCCTTTTCTTCAGTTACCCCTTTCCCTGAATGCATATTTGAAATTGATTGAAACTGAATTCTGAATATCTATTTCTTCTTGCAGGCACACTCGCAGACGTTAGGTACCTCGATTCGACCCCAGGCGCCCGAGTTCCCGTTCCTTCAGTACCACCTCCAGTCCGGTCCCTACATCCCGTACCAGCCGCCCCAGATCGCTCAGAGGGTGTCGCAAAACACCAACCAACCCCAACCTGCAACCACACAGTACCCTAGGCCAGACCCCTTCCAACAGGTAATGGTAATTTACAGTTAAATCTGCTGTATGACCTATATAGAAAGACCACCTGTCTATAAAGACAGGTCCCTACATGTATATCCCCTACCAGACTACCCTCTGACTACAGATGTCCCATTAAATTCAAAGTTTCAAGTTCAAAGCTTCTGTTTCAAAGTTTGTATTAAAATGATCCTTAGTTTCAGTTTGAATAGTAGAGCTGTTTAGGAGCAATCACTGCAATTTTCCTAACAAGAACAAAAACAATGGGTTCCATATGGCTAAGAGTAGGCCTTTAATTAAATTATTTTGTCCCCTACCTCCCCACCCCTCGCCCCCCCCCCCCCCCCCCCCTCAAAAAGAAAAAGGGGGAAAAAGAAGGAAAGAGACAAATCTTGACATGACCAAAATTAGTAATGACAGTGACATCGGTCAGAGTCATTATTCATTTTACAAATAAAGGGATTTTCATGTTTCAAAAAAATATGTGGATAACAGACATGTTGTTGGGACACATTGCAAGGCATCTTCTTTTACCAGAATCTTCCTTTACCAGAATAAATTGTTCTCTTTAACAATGTAATGAATGTGATTGTTTTCAGCCCCTGCAGGTGTACCCGGTCCGAGTGGACAATCACGTAGCAATGGTCAGTCAGGCCCCTCAACCCCAGAGTTTACAGATTCAACCCCAACTATTCACCCAGGTTAGTGACTTGTCTGTCTGTCTGTCTGTCTGCGTGTCCATCTGTATGTATGTGCCCCTCTTTGTTTTTACTCTTTTTTTATGACCTTCTCTGCCCTGCTCTTTTTTTTCTTCTTTTTATATTCTGTTTTGAACATAATTTGTGTACCACAATCATGCTCATTCTGCCTTCCTCTCTTAATTCCCAAATGTAACCTGGTCTCTCTGTGTTTGTCTGTCTCTCTCTCTCAATCAATCTGTCTGTCTGTCTCTCTCTTGGTCTATCTGTCTCTCTATCTTGCTCTTTCTGTCTCTCTCTTTGTCTATCTGTCTTTCTTTTCTGTCTGTCTGTCTGTCTATCTTACTCTTTTTGTCTATTTCTGTCTCTATCTTTCTCTTTCTATCTTTCTGTCTCTCTGTCTCTCTGTCTCTCTTTCTGTGTATCTCTCTGTCTTTCTCAATCATCATGCCCTCCTTCATCACTTATCTTTTTATCAGTATTTTATCAAATTTTGATGGTGTGATGAGGGTATTCCTCTTTGAGGGAGGAAATTCTGTGGTTTTGCTGGTTTCTTGATTTCAATCCCATATGACACGAAACACGGCAGAAATAGATCACTCCAGAGCATCTGGAGAATCCCTAACTAAAAACAAAAATGATGAGAGACGACCGAGAAACATCCAGTTTCCTAATAGAATATTAATAGAAGCACACCTTACTGGGGAGAAGGGGGAAGGAGAATTAATAGCAACATCCAAGCCACTTTTTAAAAGCTTTGACATGCCCTAATTGTGGTTGAATATTGCAAATATCCTAAAAATATTACTTAAAAATAAAATGTTTATGAGATGATCAAGTTTTTCACAGAATACTTTTTGAGGTTAACTTTTGAGGATTCTTTTAGTGGTTGTTTTTATTTCTTTTAAAACTTCCTTTATGAGTTGCTTAAATGTTCCTGACAGATTCAAATAATTTTGGGATTTTGTTTTATGTATTTTTTTTTTTTAGATTTTCCTTCAAAGAGGCCCTCTCAAGAGTTCTTTTTTATGAGTTCCTATATGAGTTTTTCAGTAAGGGGCTCTTTCCAGGTGTTTGAGGGAGTCTTGGGGCTTCCTTCCTATTTAAGAGTTCCTATGATAGTTCCTTGAAAAAGTTCCTATTGTAATTAACGGTGTATAAACCGCCCTCGTGTATTAGCCGACTTAAAAAACAGGACCTAGGATAGAACCTTGTGGTATGCCGTGTAATAGAAGAAAAATTGGAGGAATTATTATTATCAACTACATATTGAAATCTATCAGAAAGATTACTTTCGAACCAAGATGACAGACAAATTTGAGTGTTGTTCTAGTTTCCGAGTGGTGAGTCAACACACCGATTACTGAGCTGGGAGACATTGCCAGGCATAGCGCCAGGTGGAGGGGCATAAATCCTGGTGTACCGTGTATAAACCGCACCCCCGACTTTGAATTTTTTTCGGCGGCAAAAAGGTGCGCTTAATACACTGTTAATTACGGTATTAGTTCCTGAAGTATACAGTTGAGTATTCCCTTTTAGGAGTTCCCACTTAGGTGTTTCATTAGAAAAGATTACCTCCGGAATCTCCTTTGAGTGGTTATTTACTCTGTGAGTCTCGTGAAGAGACTAATTGAGATCCCGCTTCCCCCATGTGCACTCATTATCGCTTCGTCGCCATTTGAAAGCTCATTTGAGTATGCAGTTCCTTTTAGATTTTCTTTGATGAGTTCCTAGTAGTGTTTCCTGTAAGAGTTCATTTAAAGAGTTCCCTAAAATGATTTGCTTCTATAATATCCTTTTGAGTATTATGGTGAGGCATTTATTTTAGATGGTCCCTTAAGGAGTTCCTGGTAAGAGTTTGTTCAAAATGTTCCTTTGAGGGGCTCTTTTAAAGACTTCCTGTACAGAATTTCGTTTAGAAGCTCTGTTGAGGATTCCAGTGAGGAGGCCCTTTTAGAAGTTCCCTTGCAAGATTCTTTCAAGTTCTTTTAAAGCCCCACTGTCCTACTTGTAGCTACTTGCTCCCTCTATATAGAAAATTTCCCAAATCGGTGCCTGTTGGTCCCCATGATCCTCTTTTTCTTATGTTAGTTGAGAGCCGAGTTAATGAGATAGCCACCTGTCAGTGACCTCGCTGTGTGGTCTAATCCCTTCTGGCCCAGTAGTATTGACAACCTTTAAAGATTTCCTGTAAAGAATTACTTTTAGATGTTTTGATGAGGATTCCAGTGAGAGGGGCCCTTTTAGATGTTCTCTTGGAAGATTCTTTCAAGTTCCTTTGAGTTGTTTTTTCCTTAAGGATCATCTCTGTAGGGTTCCTCTTTAGGGGTGCCTCTAGGGGCTCAGGGGTTGACTAGGGGGTATGATTGGTTATTAATATCCCTGACTCACGGAGTGATGAAGCGCGATTCCAGGTGACAGGATCGTGCGGGCGCTACGGCTTAATCTTCCATGGATCAAGCCTAAGCATTATCTCTGTAACATGTGCTCCTCTGCAATGGAGGGGGCTGGGTAGGAGGGGTGGGGGTAAGAGGGTGGGAAGGAGTTTGAGGGGGGCTAGTGATGGTGATACTGAGTACTGTGGGAGGGGTAGGGGCTGGGGGAAATCCAACTGCATGGGATAGCATATTTCCTAGCTCAATTATAAGCATTATCTTAGATTGGTTTTGGGGATGGAGAAGGATGAATGATGATTAGAGGTTGGAGAGGTGTATTCCAGAGGTACAACGCAATATTGGGATAGAGGGAGGGGGAGGGGGGGGGGGGGGGTTGGAGAATACACAACTATTCAAATTCAAATTCAAATTCAGATTTTGATGGATTAATCTTAATGGCTTAGAAGCAATCAGTCCCTCCAGTACTAAATTAATGCAACATTAAGGGTGCATAATCATGATACGAGGAGGCCATTAATTTCCTAATGATAATCTAGGGGTGAATGGGCTGATTCTGGGAAACAAGTTTGACTCATTATGGTATGTAGTTTGAGGTCACTTTCCAGGGAGAGCGTGTCAGGAATTAAAATCTGGTAGGATCTGATGTGATGATGAGGTGTTGAAAGAAAGTTGGAAACATCTTCTCTTTTTTCGGGAGGGGGGGGGGGATGAGTGGGGGTGCTTAATAATTTTGTAACTACATGTACTGTATTATAGAACAAGTAGGCATAATCTTACGATAAGGACAGACTGTGAGTATGTTCATGGTACACAGTGTTGTAGCTGAAGAAGGGGGCATGGGACTGGGGAGGGGGGGGGGGGGTGCAATGCCCTCATGAGTGATAGATGAAAAAAGGGAAGGGATAGTGGAATGAAAGAGAAGAAGGTATTACCCTGTCCTCCCTAATCCTCAGTAATGACCCTTGAAAAATCACTTTTCATCTGCACATTAGACTGGTGCTCTCTTCCCCCACCCCCATCCCCTGTTCTGACCCTCTCCAATGGTATCAGTGCCCCTCAACCACCAGCCCCACATTATGCCCCTACTTTACCCTTATGATAGGCCCTGTACAGTCAATATTCACATGAATTTTCTCACGCATGGTCCACATGACGCCCGGTGCCAGACACTCTTAATTGCAGGATACTTCTAATCACCTTGTACCGAGTCTAGGCAGGAACTCTTATTGCATGTAACTCCAATGGCCTTGCCCATAACGAGGAGTAGAAACGCATCTGGATTAGACTTGATCCCCAGTCTCCTGTTCAATTTCTCCCTGCTGGTGAGACGTGCTTGGCCTTTCCTTAAGTAGATGCTATTGTTATCCTTCCATACAATCTTCATTGTTCGAGACGTTATGCAATTGAGAAGGCTGTCCCTAATGATGGACATTTTTCTGGGAAATGAATTTTCTTTTCAGTCTTCAAACAGTTAGGAATACAGGAAAAAAAGAGTGCGTCTTTTAAGAAACATTACTCTTGCTCTCCCTGTTTATATTAGCACTGAAACAACAAATAAATAAAGATGAATGAATTGATGAAAATAAATAAAGTGTAATTTAGCTTCTGGAAGAAAAAAAAGTGGAAAAAAAATGTACTATAAACAAGAGGAGTTAGATCAAATTAGGAAATGTATCACTTTTAAAAGTGGCAAGGTGTGGCGGAAGTAAAAGAAAAAAGAGAAGAGAAAGAAATAGTAGGAGAAAAAGATTGGAATAAGATGGGAAAGAAATATTGTAGAAAAAATGTATAAAACACTGGGGATCAAGAGAATAGAAGAAAAGAGAAGTGAATCCTGAAATAGAAAGAGAAGTACAAAAAAGGAGAAGAAATCTGGGAAGAGTATAGAAAGAAGAGAAAGAGACGGAGCAAACCTGATGTTTGAGAGCTGATGTGTATCGAAGTCAGGTTTAGCTAAGCAGTTTACTACATACAAAGGGAAGTTAGTCACAGGCAGGAAATTTATGGCATTACCTCGGACCGAGCAAGGCCGTACACCTGGCTTACACATGAGACTTCATGCTAGACAGACCGATTAACCTCATCAGTACTGTTTACAAAATTGCTCTTAATTCTCTGGGAATATCCTTGTTCTGTTTTGTTTGTTTTTTGTGGTGCAAGCCTTTGAGATGAAGGTTTTGAATAAAACTAGAAGACAAAAACGTTTGTCATTCTATGCTAGTCCTCATTTGATTATTGCAAGATTTTTTTCCCTCTCCCCATTTATCTTACCATCACCCCTGTAACGTTGATTGGTATAACCCATTGTTTAGTGAAGAGTGTCATTATTAGGATGTTCCATTTTCCATTTTGGGGCGACTGTGTTGAAATTTGATGAGAAGATTGTGTTGAAATTTGACGAGAAGATATAGATGATTATCTATACTCCTTGTTGAGTTGAACAAAACAGTCAAATCATAATAGGAGAGGAGAAGTAAGAGAGGCGACAAGAAAAGAGATTCTAAGGGTAAAAATGATAAGGTGATCTTAGAGGCAGGAAACCGTTGCTATCGCTTGCATCAACAAGTAGAGATGAAGCGATATGGAGGGCAGACTTGCTAAAAATACAATACAATAACAGGACAACATTTATTATGTAGTCCCACCTATATCTGATTTGGGAAGTAACATGCAGGCTTTAGGATCTTCTGCGGGGAAGCGAGCATGCCATATTTATCATGAAAGCGCAGGCTTTCCTCTCGATAGATCATGGTGACGTCTTTATCTTGCTCCATAGTCCCACGTAATGCCATTGTTTGTGGGGCTTGATGACTACGACTATAACTTGCCATGTAGTCCGACAAACTGCCTTATTTGTTGGGACTTTGTCATAACGGTCTGGAAAGAAATTTAACTTGTTGAGCTAAGTTGTTAACAAGATTTAAGAAAAATAAGAATGAATATATTTAAGCAGAGGAAATGGGGGATAGAGTATTTGAGAATAGGGACAATTGTCTTGGCAGTGTATTTCTAGGATGAAAACTGTTCATAAATATAACATTTTTCCTGAGGACCTTACTTTCAAATCTTTTCTACTGGGATTACTACACTGGCAAGTTGAAAATTATTACAAGTAATATTTTGCATAATTAAAAGGGAATTTAAAGCAATTCATGAAGCTACTTGTGAAATAATTACAGAGTTACTTGTAGAGATTTGTTATTTACTCAAACTATCGAAGTAATTTGAAAACCATAAAGCATGAATTTGGTAAGGAATAATTATTATGACCAATTTTTGTTCTACGTTTGTCACTTACATATTGCATACATATACATGTATATTATTTCTTCAACCTCCACTGTTATAATTTCCTCATGCAAATAAGTATGATGTCACAATAACTTGTGATTTACACATGCATGGTCATTGCATAATTACTACAAAAACAGTCACAGAATTTATAGTACGATCCCTTTTAAGTAGGTCCATATGTACTACTCCCATTCCAAAGTGCATATAATTTGTCTACATATCACAGTTCAACGCCTTCCTACATCTCGCAAAGGTCATAGAGGGCTTATAACAAACGCCTAGCCTCCGACAGCTGTGACTATTTGCGTTGAATTTTAATCCTAGTTTGTAGGTCACATCGTGAAATATAACGACTTCAGTAACCATAAACTCGATTAGTGTATAACTTACAAAATTGCATGTTGTGTTTACAAATTTCATGCATACAGTATGTTGATACAAGGCATTGATCTTACACCATAACTAGTATAGTAAATCTAGATGCCATGTCAGTGCTGCAATGGTTTTGACTGCCAAACTTCAAATGCATGAATGAAATGCTTTTGGTTAATGAATAATGTTTTTCCTATTGAAGTTTAAGTGGACTCATTAAGAGTGAAGTTAGGTAATATGCAATACTTATTTCATCAAAATGAAAACAAATGATAATGTAAACTTGTCTAAACTTGGTAAGGTCGAGACAATGAGGGAAAGTGAATGATGATCTTAAAGAAAAACACCCTTTTACCAAAACCCAAACAGTGCAAACAGGTAGTTACTTTAGAAGTTGACATAGACTTTCAAGACTATTTTGAAGAAATTCTTGTGGATAAATAGCAGAGAGTGCTTTTTCAATGTGACAGTTTGTTAAAATTTCCAGTTTAGTGTTTGAACTCCATTTTCCACTCCATGGAAGGGAGGAATTTGAAAGGTATTGTTCAAAGAAGCGAAAAGGAAAGGCGGGGATGCTGCTATTGTTAGAATTAAATGGTTATTCTGATATGTGGTAATGACTATCAAATCCCTGTCGGTGCTCAACCTTAGTGAGTGGCTTGTGAAGTTAGTGAAATTTTTGTTTGTTTGTAAGGGAAGGAGTGGTTCAAGTCACTCTCTGTGTGGCTCATACTAATTTGAGCACTCTCGTGCATAGACAATAGGAAATAGATTCGGGAAGTGAGGGGATCATCTTCACCTAACCCTCTCCCCCCCCCCCCTCTCTCTCTCTCACTAGCTCTCTCTCTCTCTCTCTCTCTCTCTCTCTCTCTCTATCTATCTCTCTCTCTCTCTCTCTCTCTATCTCTCTTTTTCTCTCTGTCTCTGTCTCTTTGGTCAATTATACTTTTTTTGTCAGATATTTTGTCTCTCATTCGTTTTTCTATTTACATTTATTTACCATTGTTTCTGTCTGTCTCTTTCTCTCTCCGTCCCTCTATCTCTCTGCAACTTTATGATTTAACAAAAAATATCTATGTCTATGATATCTCTTCCGCTTTTGTGTTTTCTCGCTTGTTCTGTATCTTGTTAAATATTTTCTTCAACATATTTCTATTTTCTTATTTTACACTTATTTCTTTCTGCTGCTCTTTTTTTTTTTGCTCTTCGCCATTTTCTTTTCCCCTTTTCTTTCTATTTTTTGTCCCTAAATCTCTTTGTGTCTCTTCCGCACTCTCTCTTACCCTCTCTCTCTCTCTCCCTCTCTGCTCTCTCTCTCTCTTTCTCTCTCCCTCTCCGCTCTCTCCCTCTCTGCTCTCTTCCTTCGTCTCTCTGCCCCTTGTTTCCCTACTCTCTCTGAGTCATCTTCCTAAATCCTTTCCCCATGCTATTAATAGCCAGTCACAGGCAAGTAAGGAGGCAGGCAGGCAGGCATACATGCATGGCAAATCTATCGAACACTGCGACAATGCAATTGTATGCTGCAGGCTTCGCTCGCAAAACAAAGATGGGCACCATTTTGAACTTACACATTACTGCCAAGATTTTCATTATCCCCCTTCTCCCTATAAATGTTCTCTTTTGTCTTGTAAATGGATTAGTTAATGTTATTCAAAAGACACAAAAACAAGATGTTATTATTGAAATACAAATACAATGGCAGTCACCTTTTACCAGCATTTTTGCCAAGATTTTTGTTGTTCCCATTCTCCCTTTAAATGTTCTTTTTTGTCTCGTTCATGGATTGGTTTATATTATTAAAAAGACACAAATACAAGATATTATTATTGAAACACAAATACAATGGTATTCGTGTTTGAACAGCATAACACTGCCAACATTTTCATTGTCCCTTCTCCATTTTAATGTTCTTTTTTGTTTCTTAAATGGATTAGTTTATGTTATTAAAAGACACATAAACAAGATATTATTATTGAAACACAAATGCAATGGCAGTCTTATTTGACCAGGATAATACTGCCAAGATTTTCATTGTCCCCTCTCCCTTTAAATGTTCTCTTTTGCATCTTAAATGAATTGGTTATGTTATTAAAAGAGACAAAAACAAGATATTATTATTGAAACACAAATACAATGGGAGTCATCTTTTACCAGCATAATACTGCCAAGATTTTTGTTGTTCCCCTTCTCCCTGTAAATGTTCTCTTTTGAATCTCAAATGGATTAGTTTATGTTATTAAAAGACACAAAACAAGACATTATTATGGAGACACAAAAACAATGAATGGCATTTTGAGCAGCATAATACTGCCAAGATTTTCATTGTCCCCCTACATGTAACATTTAACTTTAAATTATTATTGGTGTCCCATGAATACATAGATACCTTCATATTCTTTAATAAAACGCATAAGAAGAATTAAAGTCATTTTCAACAGTAAAGGAATGCCAATATTTGTCATTGTCTCATTCTCACTTAAAATGTTTATTTTTGCCTCCTGAATGGAAGATGGATTAGTTTAGATTTGTGGGACATAAAAGAATGATAGATGATTTTCTTTGACCGACACAGTCAGTATTGCCAAGATTATTGTTAGCTTCTTCCTCCTCCCCATTTTGTCAGGTTTAATTAATGTCTTTTGAATGTTAAAAGAATCAATTCATGCTTTATGAATTTTATGGGAAATAATGTGATGCAGATGCACTGCCAACTTAAAGATTTAAATGTCTGATATACTCTTACTTTTCTTCTATCCCCTCCACAGAGTTCATCATTAAGTTCGAGACACACGACCACAGTGGTGGCCCCCATAGGGCAGAGAGGGCACGGAGGCAACCACTCAATCCAGCACGTCGCGTTACCGATGGCTGTGGGCAGCTCAGGAACGCAGCAGGGATGGCCGCCCAGGCCAGCAGCCCAGGGACAGACAGTTTTCTTACCGGTACATAACCAAAATGTAGAGGATCAGAGATGTAAATTTCATGATCTGTGATACACACTTCATGATCTGAGATGTAAATTTCATGATCTGAGATGTAAATGTCATGATCTGAGATGTAAATTTCATGACCCGAGATGTAGATGTCATGACCCGAGATGTAAATTTCATGACCCGAGATGTTAATTTCGTGACCCGAGAAGTAAATTTCATGACCCGAGATGTTAATTTCATGATCTTTGCCTCATTTCTGGTTCATTCTCCTTCATTTTTAGACATGTGGGACTAACATAACAGAGAATGTATGGGACTACAACTGTTTTGATCTCTTTCCAGCATAATCGGGAAGAAATAATTGCTATCCATCAGATGACAAGTTGCAAATCCTACAACCTTTCCAACAAAATATAATTTTTCAGTTTTACCATGAAAACTATTCCTCCCTGAATATCTGTGTATGTCCTTGCTCCTAAACATATTGAAGCGTGCTTGTACAGTATGTTCTCATTTCGTGCAACAGTTATTACTAATGAACACTTTTAAATGGGATGGTGACATTTAAAGAGTCAATTGAGAGCCCTTCCCTTAGGAAAAGAGGGCTAATCTACCAAGTATACCAAGTAAGCAAGTAACGTGAAGTTATTTATGTTGCAAATGTTTTTTTATTTTGACAGAATGGGCCAGTCCAATCATGGCCGCCCAACGGAGGGCAGGTATTCCTCTCACCATGGCAACAAGGGGCAGCAGCAGTGACACAGCAGCCAGTCATTCCGGAGGCACAAACCTTGACTGAGACTTGGAGGTAAGACACAGACGCACACACATGAATAGACAAACACACAGACAGATAAACAAATAAATAGACAGACAGACAGACAAACAGACAATCATGTCCTAAACCAGCTGTTCTTGTGTCCAATAAAACATATTTTTAAGCTGCTGACTTGAACGCATTTGGTGCTCATATTTATACAGACATCGGCTGTTCCTTTTGATATAGAATAGAAATTACTGCATGCTTCACTGATTCTATGCCCCCACATTTGTGTACCGGTAAGCATTTAAATATTATAGTTCTGACAGATGAAATACATGAGCATTAGACTGCCATATGGATTGAAACATAGTCCATCTTTTACAACAACAAAAACAAAAATAAACAATAAACAACTACATGTATATGCCTACAGTATAAATCCAAAGAGCCCGTAAGGAAAGATGGCCATGAAGACAAATTATTGAACAACTATTTAATATTGTGAGATGAATCCTTTCTTATATTGCATCCTTTTTCTGCTGTTTTGGAGTTTCTTTGGCAGCGTCCTGCTGATGAATCTTAATTACACAAAATGTCTTTTGGGGGTCAGAAGGTGTGTAACATGTTAATGGTCTTCTGGCTTTCAACAAATGACAGATGTTACAAATATCTCTATATGATTGACCCTTTCACATATTGCCTATTTTTTTTCCAGACGGCAGTATGTTTCTGCAGCCCCAGTATCGTGGCGTAGCTCTGACGAATCGGGCTTCATCACGACCGAACCCAGCCCCGCCCTCTTCCATATGGACGTTGGGGAAGGCACCTTCTACGATCACGGCATTGAGGTAGGTTGGCCATGCAGTAGTGCAGGGCTTTACATTAAAGGGCATAGTGCAGATGAACCTCCACAAATTGGCTTCAACCTCGCCCCTGCTATTCTAAATTTAAACAGGCTTGTGTTGTTTGTGTAATTGGATTTTTGCAGACGTTTTATCAATGAGATAAGATTATTTATGTGTGAGGACCGAGCATTTAATGTCACCATCCCGTAGGCATGACTTGTTGTCGCACCAGGGTCTGCCCAAAGCCAGTTTGTAGGCCAAATAGAGAGCTGACCAAGTGGACATACCGCTAGACCAATTAACATCTCCCTTTTAGTAGGCATAGCTCCCTGATGGAGATATTATTTGCATTATGTTCTCTGTCCTGACGCACAACAATGTCAATGTTTAAAACTTCTGTTTTTAGTGAGTGTAGTATCTTATCTGACTACAGTGAAATTCTCAAATTGCTTAAGTTCAAACACGCTGATTGAAGAGTCCTGAAACAGTAGCTTTAACTTCTAGTCTGTTTATTCCTTTCTTCAACTTCTTCCGTACTAATCATGACCAGAGATCAACAACCGGACACCGAAGTACGGCCAACAGAGCCTTAGCGACCAGCGGTTCGCTAAACAAACAAATAAACACAAATACAGTGTTAATATTCATTGTCAACAATAACATGAATCAAACATGACTGACTATCTAGTTAATAACTTCAATATATGCTTACAAAGAATTAGTCTCAACTATACTAATATGAATGTATATACATACAAGGAAATCAATGACATGTAATTTTGTTCATAATTGAATGGAATAATTGTTATTCCATGAACAACTGTACCTTATCAAATCAGTGTTTAAATGGCTGTATTAATTATCAGGATAAGTATCTGAATATATCTAATAGTCTTGCGGTAATGATGGATCATATATGTGATTCGTGACTAATTCATAACAACAACACTAAATATGTAAATGATAAACTGATACAACCTTACAACGTTATAATAACCTACTAATGATCCCATGCTTGGGCGCAGAGATCATCCAACAACCAAACACAATATAGCTGATGTGTTATATACTGATTGGCAACAAATATATGTGTGAATGACCATATATCTCACTCTTAGATAGTGAATACAAAGTTAATATTGTTATATCAATCAACCAAACCAATAAAGGGTTCCTTTGAACATAAGCACATAATAATAACATGGAAGATAGAGAGTATATCTCTTGGTATATAGCACATCGATTGAATCTGACTTAACGCCTATCACTGTCAATGTGTGTGTATAAGTATACATGTACAGTATATGCAGTATAATGCTTGATGGAGAGCAAAGTGCCAAATTCCATCACTCTACTTTGAGCTTGAAATACAGAAATATGAATAAGTTATTCAACCAAGTATTATGGTATAAATGACAGCACAGATATAAAGTTTGATAATAATGTAATTTTAGCTTACCAACTGTTTGCAATCCTGGGGACTTTCACAATTTACTGGGAGGAATACTATTCCTTGACTACTTTCTTCTAAATATACTGCAACTTCTGAATCTACTTTCTCTTGTTTTATTCTTTGGGCGATGCCTCGCCCTTATGACACATACCTTCTACTGACCTTCATCGAAACTAGGAGCACAAAGGTCAAGTTTGAGGTCAAGTTTGTTTACTCTTAACCCTGCCTCTGTAGAAGGTCATTACCAAACTAGTCTTGCCGCTACAGTGAGGGATATTTATCGTGGCCAGGTGGACTGGCATAGATGGATGTGTACACATACAGTTCTCAAAGACATCTCCTCAAACAACTGGCAAAAAGATCCCATAAAATTGATCCATGTTCATTGAACTGAAATCATAGCCCTAGTACTTTTAGTTCCTAACATGGAATTCCATTAAAAGATAGAACTAACACCTATTTCTCTTCTACGTGTTAACAGAGAGCCCAGTTTCCGGCGGGGCACCACTTCCACCCGATGATTCCCGTTACGCCCCAGCACTCTCTGCAGCACTCCCAGACGTGGGGGACCACCAGCAACCTGCCCCATGCATCGGCAGCCACCAACAGGGGTGTCTCACAGCACAGGCTGGCCAGGAAACAAGGAGATAAGAAGTGAGTTTAACAAAAGTACTGGCAACAGAAATTAATTGTACACTTTTTCATGGAATGTTTATTAAAGAGGTGCTCAGTATGTAGTAGATATTTCGGGACATCTTCATGAATAAAGAGCCTTCCAGAAGAGAAGTAGTAGAAGTAGAAGATACAGGAGCAGATTTGTAGAAGGGGCGGCAGAAGAATAACTGCTTTAAAATTGCTAGTTGAATTAATAAACAACTTTTATTTGATGGTTGGAGCTAGTCTAGCAGTCCTCACATCCCATACTCCATCTCCTTCCATTTTCCAAAGGATACCTTCAAACTTTATTTGTATTGAAATCTTTTCACCCCAGGACGCACACGGCATTCAGCAGTAGTCTCTCACCGCAGAAGATCAAGCGCATCAAAGGGAACACGCCCCCTATGTTACATGCCTCTGAGTCCCGCCCTCAGGGCCGACGGATGCTCAACACCACCGCCTCCACCACCACCGCTTCGGAGCTGCGTCTTAGCCCCGCCCTGAAGCAGGAGCGGGACCAGGACCCCAAAGGAGAAGGGGGTTTGACCAGCGGCGGGAGAGGAGGGGGGCAGACGTCGTCCTACGCCAACAAGCGGGAACCCATCGTGATCCCGGACTCACCGAGCCCAACGCCGAGTGTCATCACCATCAGTAGCGATAGTGAAGATGAGGTGGTTCGGCCAGCAAAGGGGTAAGATCCTCTAGTCACAATGACAAATTTCATTTAATTTCATTTCTTTATTGTGTCCATATAGGATAATTGTTTATATTTACATTAACAATCTTGCTTCAACACATGAACATAGGAACAGCACATAATTGGCAATCATAATGCCCTGTTGATGAATATACTTTTTAATACTCTTTCTTCTTCTTCTTCTTCTGGGATTGCCTGCATAACAGTTGCTAATAAGTCAAACTTAGAACTTGATTTTATTTTTGAGGTGGGGGGGGGGGGGAATGGCAGAATTTAAAGCCTTTTTCATTATAACATTCTTGAATAATTACTTTCAAACTTTTGTGATCCCTATTGACAGTAGGTTAAAAATAATCAAATATGTTTTGTGTCTAAAGAAAGAGGACTATGTAATTGGTTTCATTCTCTTTACTTACAGGTGTGAAGATAAGGGCTGTACAGCATGCAACGACAACAGCATCACGCACAGTTGCTCACTAAGCAGCTCCAACAGTATCCTGAGTGCGAGTCCTGATGGCCACGCCCGCCACAACATTGCCTCATCCCCCGGTTCCTCCTGCTCCTCCCTGAGTCCCTCCCCAATCACCAAGACAGGCGGGGACGTCGTCAAGGGTAACAGGCCCAACGTGGTGAGCTGCGTGACCATCCCTGACAGCCCTAACCCCAGCCCGGACACCAGGACGTCGCGGAAGGGTGGCCCTCGAGGAGACGCGGAGAAGCAGAGTGTGACCAAGAGTGGGGCGGGAAAGAAAAGGTCGTTCAGTGATGTTAAAGATAATACGGTGAAGGTTGTCAATGAGGTTGCTCGGGGGAGTGGGGTTCGAAGAGGTGTTGATAGGATTAAAGAAGAGATTGATGTTGATGATTTTGGGGGACAGGGTAGTGAGACAGCGAGCGGGCTGGTTGGTAAAGCCAGTGAGTTGAGACTGAAGAAAGAGAGGCCATTGCATAATCGGTCAGACTCTTCAATCGCCTTTGTCAATCTTCCGTTATTACAAACGGAAAGGGCTGGAGGCTCAAACGTGGAGACGCCGTCGATACCACCACAACCGTCATCAACGGCTGCGAATAACAATAACAACTCGAGTAGTAGCATGTTACCATCCCTCCCCATTTACAACAACAGCAACTTGTCAACGTCGGTACTAGCATCGAGAGATGCATCAAGGAAACGTTCAAATCGGACAGATCAACCTCAAACCCAAAGAACAAGCAACCAGGTACCCCACTCACAGCTAGGGTTGGTCCAAGAGAGACAGCTGCATGTAGCACCCAGTGCAGCACTCTCCAGAACGACCGCTGCTCATCTTGGTAGCCCTTCCCACAAGCCAAAGGCACCCCCACACCACCTGCAGTCGACGTCGCAACTGGTGAGTTACTCCTACGGGAGTACGCCCATCAGTTCTCCAGGAGGGGCGTTGCCGACCTTGGCGCCGCATCAGATCCACTACCGCCCTGCCAACATTCCAGGCCCCCTCCCGCCGCAGGTGTTGCATTCGCCCACGGTCCCGCCCCAAGTCTACCACCCCTCGCCCATCCCAGGCCCACCCCAGCACCAATACCACCACCACCCTCCCTACAACAGACCTCTCTACGTCCGGTCTCCGTCTGGTAACATATACAGTACGTACCCGTTGAGTCCGACAAGGGCGAGACCCTACCAGTACGTCTACCAAGGTGATTGACTTCTGCTGGTGCAAGACAAGCTCTCCCAGCTGCATCTCTGAGACTCGGGATGGGATGGCAACCATCTCAATGATTGGCCTTTTCTAGACTCGGGATGGGTCGGGGTGGTGTCTGCAGGGAATGTCGACACTTCATCTCTGGCAAATAACTTCAATACAACCAACCCAATGGAATAAGAACAATGGAACCAATCAGGGAATTGTCAACACTGGTGACACAATTTGCTATATATGGGGCCAGGGAATGAAATTGATTTGATTTATTATGTCTCACAGTCTCAGTCAACTGTACCTACAAGAACGAAAGTAATGGAAGTGATTTTATTCAGTGATTTGTTTGAAATTGTTAGCAAACTCAATTGCAACCATCTGTTTCATGAAATGGATTTCGCTCTGTTTTAAATTAACTTTGAATTGTGAAAATGGGCAGGCTTTTTCAGACCTCATTATTAAAGCATAGACTGGATTTGTAATGTGTTGACAACTAGGGGGATTCCCCAAGAATATAGCTAGGGGAATTCCCTTTTGTAAACATGTAATGTGGAACTCAGTCTCATATTTGCTGTCTAGATTTCAGTCAGAATGAAATCATATATAGTGAAAACAGCAAATCTTCCAATATTAAACACTGTTTATTATTAAATTATAATGTATTCAGAATATATAATGAGCAATCACAAAGTAATGTAAATGAAATAAAGAGGTACATTTTATATTAAATCAAAACAATATGTCCGGAATCAGAACTTGGCTAATAGCATAGCTAATTTCATGTAGCTTCGTTTTAATTAAATGGTTGGCGTAGTCCAATATGTAGTATGTACAATTTCAATAATATTTTAATTCTTGAGTACCATCAAGACCAGTATAATAGTGTTGATAAGCCAGATGCATCGTGTATGGGGATCAATAAACAGTTTTGTCTTCATATAATTCAGGGGTTATCCTGATATTTACAATACGCTGAAATGTCTTGTTCAACCCTTCAGTTTCATTTTACCCGTGTCGTAGCGCGAGAATCAATTTTCTGTAGCGTCCCCGTTTTAATTCATGCATAGTTGCCAATTTGATCGTGTTTAGGAGACCCCGTCCTCGTGTCAAAAGAAACCCCCCAAAAGAGTTTGCAGAGTGCAGCTGGTGGGCCCATCGCTTGTCTTGCCCATATCGTTATTTTTAATTTTCCCTGAAAAAAAATTCAGGGCCTTGTTTTAGTAGTTTTCAGAGAGAGCTCTTATTTAGATCGCCGCTACCAGTCTAAAGCCTCTATGTTTTTTCATCAGTATTTGAGGCATTATTGCGCACTAGCGCTTTTTATTCTCTTCTTTAGCATGCACGCTCTTTTTTCATTAATGTTTTTACGGATTCGAGCTTTTAACCTTCTTATATCTTCCCCTTCGTACACGATACCGTTGTTAAATTTAGACCTCGTTCTTCTTCTTGTTAACACGTTGGTCCCCGTAGCGTTATTTCTTTACTTACGCCCTGTCTTTGTATAAAAAAGTTCACGTTTTGCAATATATATTTTTTGCCTTTTAACATATACCTCATCGCCTGTATATAAAATGATAGTGACATATTTTTTCCTCCCAATTTGTATTTGAGAAGCTTTAAAAGCATGTATTTACGGGCAAAAATCCTTTCCTGCTTTTATTATTCTGTTCTTTCATAGTTGAGATGTGTTTTGTTTTTTAGCGGTAAAGACTTATGACTTATGAAAACGGAAGGAGGTTAAGTCTTCTGTGAGATGAGGGGCGCGGAATTTACGGAAAATGTTTGATTAAATGTCTTAGATATCCATTCTTAACTAGAAATACAGACTAATTGAGCTAGCACGAGATAGAAATCACTACAATGAATTTTCTGAATGGCGTAATTTTCATATAACTGTTTAATTCGCTCCTCGACTTTGAGGACTTAGGCGAATAGTTGTGTTCTTTCTGACGAAAGTCACGAAAAGTAAGTTCTTTAGAGAAGATTAACGTTGATATATTTGAATTTTAACAGGTGCTACATAGTTTTAAACATAAATTAATTGTGGTATTTTCTGTCTTCACGTTCATATAGCATTATCCAAATTTTACTTCAAGTTGTATACTAGTTCACATGAGCATTTGATGTCAGGTTTGGCGCGAGTAATCGTTGTCTTATACTCGATGTGTGTAGCGTTTTGGATATTGGACAAATACTTGACATTTTTAATAAGAAGTATTTGATATTTTAGATAATCCGAGTATTTTTGTAATTTGTGGCATAGATGTGATTTAGTGGGCATTTGAAGGCAAGTTTTGGAATTGTTCTTTTTGTATCATTCTTCTGTGGATTTGTAGAATTGAGTGTTTTCATTCAGACTGTCATTTAGACGATACGATACCAAAAGAGTTTTTTTTTCTTCTTCATATTCTCATATATGTCCATGTCTGTTGAGATGTATGCAAAATGCATTACATAAGAATTTGTAGGTTACCAAATTTTTCATCTTGGAATTGTGTTTCTCAAAGTTTTGTGATTTATGGATGGTATAACTTTCGATGGATTTTGTGTGAATTTGATGGAATTTGTGGAACTAAATTGAAACATTTTGTGAATAAAATTTGTACATTTTGTGAACGATGAAGTTTGTAAACATAGAGAATAACTATTTTTGCTAGAGAATTTGGAGAAAAGGACAATTTTTGAGGTAAACCTTATTTGAGATATTGCACATTTTATGGGGATCATCTTGCTGTATGTTCGTAGTTGAAGCATTATTGAATTTTGCATTTGTTCAGTAGAAGTTTTAAAAAGTATAGGCCTTTGTTCCGTGTGATTTTCAAGCATGTGTTCCGTCTTTCTTGAAAGATTTGTCCTAGAGTTAGCGGATTTTTTGCCCTGTGAAATTACATTTGAGTTGAGCTCAAATATTTATTCTTGTTTCAAATCTTGTTACACTGCTCACGAAGACAGTTATAACTTTTTGTATAAACCAAGAAGTCTTCTATTTTCTATATTCTATGCTACTTGCAACATATCACATATTTATTCATATATTTGAATAATTGTTTTTGTTATAACTAAGGAAATATGATTAATTTCAAGTTATTAACATTTTAATTAATTGCAAGTTTTTAAGTTGAATTGGATTTCTCTCCGTGCGTTTCAAGAATTGTTGTCTTTATATACAACAGAGAAAGAAAGGCGGTCAAAATCTTTAAATAACTTTCTTTTCTTGCCCCTTCTTGTGAATAAAATTATAAATTGTACCTTTCTTCTCTTACTTTTCCTATGAAGAAGATAACTCTGTAAATTAATTTTTTTCTTCCCCTGCCTGTGAATAGAATAATTCTGTAAAATAAATTCTGTAAAATAAATTTCCTTCCTGAACTTGTGAATAGAATTACGATTGTAAATGAAACTTAAATTATCAACTAATTCGTCCTGTACATAAAAAAGGAACTTTTGACCATTTTTTGATCTTCTTCATCGTTCGTCCACCTGAAATAATTAGGATATTGACCCTCTTATGATCATTCCAAAGGAACCAGTTCTCGAACTGGTATTGTAAATAAGAATAGCGTCAGAGACTGACCATAGATGCTTTGAAAAGTCGTATTTGTAGTTATTTTGTGTTCGATTTGAAATGATTTGATTGTATTTAACGCTTAGCAGATTTCATGTTTTTCATAGTCTGATTTACTCTAGGTTAATGTTCAATGGTATCGCGTAGTATGTAGTTCTTTTATGAATTTGAGCTTGTATCTTTCTTATAATCATGGACTGATGTCTCGTATATATATTTTTTTCTTTTCTCTATCCAGATTTACCGAAACTTTGCCTGTATTATATTCATTCGTGTCGATAGTTGTTTTTGAGGTGCTAAATCTATGAAAAATGTTAACTATTATCAGAACTGCGTTTTCAGTAACTTGTTTATTAATGTGTGCCTGAAATTGTGTATCGTGTGAAGGGGTTAGAGCGAGGAGGTACGCACATTAGATGGTTATTCGAAAAATGTCATTACGTCGCACATCAGCGAGGCGTCTGTCAGTACAAGTATATATATAGATATATAAATATATATATATTTGCATATATGCAAATTTTTAGCATGAGGATATCATGTAGCGGAATTGTTCTTTTTCTAGCGATTGAGAGTTTAGTCTTGACAGAGAGCTGTTCAGTTTCATTGAAGTTAGTGTTGTACTCTGTATTTTATCTCTGTCATTTCAATATAAGTGCATTTTTGCCACTTTTACGTGCCGGTTTTGTTTTAGGAAAATATATATATATTTTTTTTGTGTTCTTGATTTGGGGTATGATTAGCAAAGGCATATTAATTAGGCTGTGTTTTTTAGTCGAGATTTTATTGGTGTTTTGTAGAAATTTAGCGTTGATTGCATATGACAGTTTCAGTGAGACGTTTCGTTTCGTGAATATATAAATATATATATATATATGATGTGTAGTGATGTTTGAGACACTAATATAGGCTTCCAAGTTGATACAACATTTCTAGCAATGGCACGATCGATTTTGTGCTGGGCTAAAATTACCTTGACTGGTGCGTGTACAATTTTCGAAATGAATTTCTTGATAATTTTCAAAGAAAATGCTATTTTCCCTTTTGTAATCCACAAAAAGGGTCCATTGAAGTGAAAGGATGTTATTTTAAACCGAGAGTTGTGAATCAATGAATATTGATGAATTTTGGGGTATTTGTAGTTGTTATCCAAAAATATCCAAGAATGTACCGTATGTGTAGACTATGTTTGGAGTTTTTAAGGTTATGATGGTTAAAAAATACTGGACAGCTTGATCAAGTAAATTGGTTATGACTTGTCATTGTCCGTTTGATAAAAAGGGACTTAAGACCTTTTTACACATATTGGTGTAACCATCCAAGTTTACAAACGACAGTAAAGTCATGAGTTGTTGTTTTTATGAAATGAAGTCGAGACCTTTTTGAAGTCGGTGTCACTTGAAAACAAATGGTGAATAGCTTTATGGCATGAAGTCTTTTTTTTCTTCCCACAAAAGGGTTTAAAAGAAGAAAGCTTGGATCTCTCTCCCTCCCCCTCTCCCTCCCTCTCTCCCTCCCTCTCTCCCTTCCTCTCTCTATCTCACTCTATCTGTCTTTCTCTCTCTTTCTCTCTCCCCCTCTCTCCCCCTCCACCTCTCTCCCTCCCCTTCCCTGTCTCTCTCTCTCTCTCTCAATTTGCAATTTACACCACAATACCCCACTACTTTGAATGTTTACAACTATATATATAATACTGTAATAAGTCACTGCCTAGATAGTTATACATAGTACAGAAGTGCTCTTGAAGAAAATATTGTCACATACATGTAGTAAACTGACATGATGTCATTTGTAACTGGTTTAAAATTGTAATAGGTCTATTGTCTCTTATTAATGACCGGTATACGATGACTTGTCTTGTCGCAGCAATATAGTTAACGTGCACGTTTTTCATGATGAATATTTAAAGTATCTTTCGATAACAGTATTATCCATTCCTTATTATTCGTCTGAGAGTGCGTTGAATCGTAGCTAGCTAGCTTCTGCGAGAAGTCGTCTGTTTGTTTGTTTCAAGTCCGTATACATATATATATTTGCATTTAATATACATAGTTTGAAATAGTTGTTAACCCATAGTGAGTTGTATCGTATATCAATCAATTGATGTTACCTATATTTTTGCTCTGTTTTATTTACTTTCCCTGAAGATATTGTGTGTTTGTAAAGGAATTTTATGACTTTTTTTGCGTGGCGAGTTTTCTAAGTGGTTTTAAATGGCTTGTTTGAGGTGTTACATTGAATTTTTAACCAAATTTTGTTGTGAATTCTCTTAATTTAATATATCCATAGCTGTGAATTCTTTTTAGTTATATATCCATATAGATTGTGTTGTTTAACTCACAAGATTTTTCAAACTAGTCCCAGGGGTACGTTATGGTGTGGTACTATTTAGTATACTCTGTCATATGCACACACACTCCGACACTGCAAATAATAGACCTAGATAGTAACGCTTTAATCATTTAACCAAGATTACTTCACATATCTTGGATTTATTATGTATTTCTAACAGCATATATTGTATTTCACTTCAATATTTTTGAATTATCTGCCAAGTATAGAAGTTTTGATGTTTTATTTTTACTGTTTGCTTCCTAATAATGCTTTATTTTTGTCAAACTGCTTTGTGCCAGGCTGGCCTTGCTCGATTGAATTACCATTTCATGAATATTATTGATATTTATTAATTATTAATGAGGGCATTATCCGGTGTTCAACCAGTACCGTAATGATGCAAGAAAAAAATGTCTGCTTGCAGCTAAAGTGGCATTACCTCTCTCACTTCAACATGGAGTTACTCCTTTCTGGCCATCAACGAACAATTTTTATTTGAATTTAACTGTATTCAGAAGAACATCATTAATATATACATCGTTTGTTTGGAGACAGAAGGCCATTAACTCATACTCTACGCTGAGTTAATGTCTTTCTGGTTATGAACAGATGATATGTTCAGAGGCAGTAGGGAGCTTATTTGTTTTAATGACCTTAAGGTCCTTCTTGCATTAACAGACAAATTTTTAAGAATAACAAGGATCAAACTTTTGGCAGACTCACTATTTAATAAACTATACCAGCATATATTTCATGTATGATTATTTATATACATATACACATAGATATGAAAGGACAATGTACAACTTATTGCACCTATGTTAAACAGGTGATTTAGCATTCATCTTTGTTTTTAAAATATGGGTAAGCTTGTGCCCCCACCCCTGCCATTTAAATGAGAGGATTTTTTATTGTTTTAAAATGGAATTGAAAAGGAAATAAGATTTTGATTACCTGGAATTTAGCAAGTAAAGGGCAATGCTTCTCTGGCATTTTTTCTTTGGTGTCTTACTCGAAAACTGACAGCCCACAAAATAATTTCTGCGGCAGATGATAAAAGGTTATTTTCAGAAAACAGCAGTTCCTTGCCCCCCCCCCCCCCCCCATTTTCATTTGATATCATTGTCACATGCCCCCTCATATATTATAGATGCTTTTTCATATTCCAATGTTTGTGAATGAATTTTCTTATATTCACACCAAATTATTAGTGTTTGTAGAGCGGGGAAGAGTAATGAAAAAACAAACTTGAGTTTTCTTGTTTCTTTTGAACAATTGTGTTTTTGGAAATGTTTGCGAAAGAAATTCTTGCATGTGCCTTTTAAGAGAGAGAAGTAAATATTGGATTTTTTATTGTTAGCAAGCAATTTTCTTCAATTCGAATTAGATATATACTAGTGATACATGTATACCCAACAATCTTTTCCATATGGTTATATTATTGTTATGCATCTAATCTTGTGTACATGTCCACATAGTTTTAAAGCGTATTTGAATTACACCGTGCCAATTTACCATACCATTTTCGTGTAAATTAATGTGATAAAAAACAAACAACACAGTTCAATACTATAATGAAGATAATATTAATTGATAACAAGAATGGTCTTTTCATTGCTTTTTGCCAAGTTGATAGGACTTTATTAAGTTTCACAGATTTTTCTTCAAGGCATGACTTTGTATTATTCCATTATTTTGTTTTTTAAAGAAAATTGTGAGATTGATTAAGATGTAAAAAGACAAAGAAGAGTGTTAAAGCCTTATATAGTGTATCGTCTGCTGAGCGCCAGAAGGGCGTCGACTCACATTTTAATGCCGAGCTAACGCCCTTCTGGCTTTCAACAGACCTTACTTGGGCTGTAGAGGGAGTATGCAATTATAAAATGAAATAATTTTGACAATGCTGCGTATAATGTGATATTTAATGTTTTAATCGTAACTCAAATGAGTTCATAATGCTTAATCGTGGGTTTATATCCAGCCATACATACTTATTTATACCAATCAATACCTTTTCCTCTTTTTAATAATCCAATTAACGTCCAACATGAAATTCATGTTTAAAGTAGAACCCTCTAATAATCTACTTTTAGTATATAAGTATTACTATTTTGTAATAAGAGTGAAGTGTTTAATTTTCCTTAGGCTTGTTTGCTATGAAGTTGCAAATCTTTCTGCACTTAATTTTAATCCAGTTATTGTTTGTATCTGGGGTTGTGTGTGTGTTAATTAGAGTCATCTAGCATTAGTGTTATGATTCATTGTCATTTTTGTTGTGTTTATCGACAGTATACATTTTGTGTGTGTGCAATACGGATAATAGATTGTAGTGTTTAGCAGGATGAAATTGTTGCGAATTTTGCCTTTTCCTCGTTTTAGCTTCGTACGGAAAGAAATTGCAATCGTTAGGTGATAATCGGTAGCAGTTCTACGCCTAGAAAAGTGATTAGATACATCGTATGTAGCTATGATTATTAACTTTAGTACATTCATGAAAAACTGACGGTACTGCACTGTACATGGTTGTAAATTAATTAATTAAAGTGTTTGATTTCTTAAAGATCTTGTATTATTACCTGGAAAAGTGGTCACCACTTATGGATTTTTTCAATTCAGCCTGAAAATTTTTGAGAATTTGGAGTTTTAGTTAACCATGTATATTGTTGCCAATTTGAAGTTGAAATGAATGTACTACGGTGATAGTGATTGTCTGAAACTTTAAAGCGGTACTGTTTCCCCCTTGTGTGTACTGTCGGGTTGTATTGTGTTGTATTACACCGAAACCCATTCGCACCGACAAGAAATAAAGCATGGATTATTATCATAAACTAGATTGTTATATATATTGTACACCAAACTTGTTAGGATTACATATTTTGAATGGCATTCTCTTCTTCATCAAAGAAAATTACTTGAGAGAAAGGAAAAAAACTATGGAAAAAAATGTGAAAAAAAAATCTTTGCCTGTGAGGTTACTGGGCACAATATGTTTCAAAAATAAATAAGCTATTTTATTGGCATTGCAAAAAAACTACCTGACATTTCGTATTGTTGAATATTTGTTGCATTTGATTAATGTGTATTGAAGGAAAGAGACAGATAGAGAGGAGAGAGAGAGAGAGAGAAAAAAAAGCTTAAGGAAAGAGAAATGATAGAGAAGATAAAGAGAGAGAGAGAGAGAGAGAGAGAGAGAGAGAGAGGGGGAAGAGAACAAAGTGGTAGTAAAGAAATACAAAGGGTTACAACAAAACTGGAGACGGGAGTGATTTTGAACATGTCGAGCGAAATCGAGAGAGAAAGAAGGGGAAATGACAGGGAAGGAGGAGGGGGCGGTAACAGGGGTTTGGGTGGTGGAATCGGCAGAAATAGATGGAAAGTTCTACAGGCAATCAAGAGTGGAACATGCCTCCGCGCTAACAGAATTGAAGAAAACAAAAATAAGAAAAAATTTCAAAACTTGAAACATGTCTTGAAGAACTCAAATCCTGGTTAATATCTAATGGCCTTAAGCTGAATGATGATAAATCTGAGTTTTTATTATTAGGTTCCAAGCACATGTTACGGAAGGTTGACCATCAATCGTGTCATCTCCATATTGGAAAAACATGTATCACTCCATCAAAAACAGCTCGTAATTTGGGTGTAATATTTGATCAGGAAATGTCATTTCGTAATCATATAACACATGTCCAACAGAGTGTAAGGTACCAATTACGTAATCTAAGTTTCATAAGAAAGTGTTTATCTAAACCTGCGGCTGAGATCTTAATTCATGCTTTAATTTCTTCTCGTTTAGATTTTGCAAATTCTTTGTTCTGTAACCTTCCAAAAAAAGATATCACAAAACTTCAACGACTTCAAAATTCTGCAGCCCGCCTATTAACATTCACTAAGAAATCTGATTCAATATCACCAATTCTCCGTTCTCTCCATTGGTTGCCAGTTGACAAAAGGATTATTTTTAAAATTATGTTACTTGTTCATCATTCAGTT